CCTTCTTCCCCTTCATCATCATCTTCATCTTCTTCACCTTCATCCTCATCCCCTTCTTCCCCTTCATCATCATCTTCATCTTCTTCACCTTCATCCTCATCCCCTTCTTCATCAATGTCTTCCAATCCTTCTTCTTCATCATCATCATCATCTTCTTCTCCTTTGCCTTCCTCGTCATCCATATCAGGAACCAAGTAGTGCTGCAAGGGATTTGGCCAAATATCATCTTTGATGACCTCTCCTAACTCATCTGCACCTGCATCAGCATGGTTGGAAAGCAGGTAAAGAAGCTCCCGGGTTCTTCATGCTGCCTCTTCCTACTGGCTTTATGCTGTGTTTGACTCGAACGTTTCGTCAAATCCTTTCCAGATTTCCATCTGATTTCAGTGGACTTTGAAGATGGACCACCACTGTCATTCAGATGAAATTCTTTGGAGAGAACTTGATTTTCGAAGTAAGGATTTTCATCAAAATAAAAATCTATTCTGTAACCTGATTTTATATCTTCACATTCTGTCACTTCGACTCTGGTCAAATAATGCACGGCCTCTTCATCTTCCTCCCCAAGCAGTGCAGACACTTGTGGATGGTTAACCAATGTTGTTACCCAGAAATCAGGGATTTTGGCGATCAATTCTGACCTCTTCTGAAAAAACGGTTGGCAGAGTTTGTTCTATTTCTGTTCTACTTTCAATATCGCCTCACTGGCTTGTTCATTAAGTCTGTCTATTTCATTTTGTACTTCATCAATATGTTCAGTTGCTTCTTGTTGTTCTTTTTCTCCCTTGGGCAGGTCCGGAGAGGCGGATGCCGCCTTGGACTTGGGGGCTGGAGACTGTTGGGGCTTCTTGGTCGGAGGGGTGAGCGGAGACTGGCGCTTGGGGGCCACGACAGGAGGAGGAACTTGTGATCCTCCCGCCTCAGCTTCCCAGATGTGAGATTAAAGACATGCAACACCACAACCAGCTGAAGAGTTTTGTCCATTTCTTCATCCTCATTCCTGATCTAGACTCCTCTCCCACACTAGTTTCTGGCAATGCATACTATTTATCTGCTTCCCAATTCATTCCATTCCGATAAAAAAGATACTTACTATGATTATGTCAGGTATTCTATTAAAGCATTACTCAGGGTGGGGCGCGTTGGCTTTGTAATCCCAGCATTGTGGGGGCACAAGTCAGGAGGATCAGTTAAAACCCAGCCTGGGCAACTTAGTGACGTAGTACAACTCTGTCTCAAAATAAAAACTTAACAGTACAAAGACCCTGGGTTCAATCCCCAGTACCAAGGGGGAGGGCACTAACCCATGGGTCAGACTGCCTATTACAGGAAGTATATGCTTCTTTTTTAAAAATTTTTTTTTGGTAACAGGGATCGAACTCAGGTCCTTGCGCTTGCACAGCAGGCGGTGAAACCGATGAGCTAAATCCCCAGCCCTAACAGGAAATATAAGCTTCTTTGTTGTTGGGGTTTTTTTGACTCATCTTTGTGAAATATATTCTTTTTGTCTAAATGCTCGGGGCAGCCCATAATGTGGCCACTTTTGAGTGAGCCATCGCGTCCTCCCCAGGCATCTTCTTGCGGAGCCATGTTGTCATTTGGTCTGTTTAACTCCTGCGTGGTGGAGACATGAGTCAGGTTAAGCTGCTTACTGCTCAAGGTCAGCTGACCAGTGATTCATCCAGCTTGATCCCTTTTTCCAGAACTGGGAGTTGAACCCAGGGCCTTGTGTACACATGCTGTACCACTGAGCTACCCCCACAGGGCCCCAGCTTTTAAAACTTAAGCAGATCATGCCATGTCTCTGCCCAACAGCCTCCAACAAGTCCTACCTATCTCTTAAAAACAACTATTTTTTTGAGACAGGGTCTCATTCAGACTGGCCTTGTACTCACTATGTAGTCCAGGCTTGCCTCAAACTCGTGGCGATCCTCCTGCCTCAGCCTCTCAAGTGCTGGGATCACAGGTGTGCGTCTTCTCCCACCTCTCACTCAGGGGAGAGGCCAGAGTCCTACTGGGGGACCCAGGCTCTGGCTCACTAGGCCCTCTCCAACCTTACCATCTGTCCATCCACCTGTTACTCCATCCACCTCAGCCCAGGCCCCTGTACTTCCTGACAGCATCCAGCAGCCCGTGGCTCAGGGCTTTTGCAACACACTGCTCCTCTGCATCCTTTCTCTCCCTCTTCTCAAGAGGCCTTCTCTCACCACTCTGCACCTGCCACCCCCAGTCCCCATCCTACCCTGGATTCCTTCTCTGCCTTGTTTCTTTTTTCTTTTTTTTTTGGTACTGGGGATTGAACTCGGGGGGTCCTTGCACTTGCAAGGCAGGCGCCAGAACCACTGAGCTAAATCCCTGGCCCTTCTGCCTTGTTTCTTGCCTAGCTCTGCTCACCACCTTCCATGCAGTAGTTTGTGTATTTGTCTCCCTTTTCCAATTAGAATGTGTGCTCCCTGAGGACAGGATTTGGTTTCATTTCTCCGTGCATCCAGAGGTGCAGCACTTGGCAAGCATGCAGTGAAAACTTTGGAGACTGAAAACTCTAGAGAATGTTTAAATTTTTAAAAATTACAGTAAAAGGCACATTGCCACTAATCCCCCTCCAAACCCTCCCCCTTGTATTGAACACACTCATCCCATTGTTCTTGCCATTTTCTGAAGCCATTCCGGAAGTCCTCTTTCATGTCTGGTTGTACCACTGTGCCTGTGTCGATGCCCTGAATCTAAGATGTTTACTTTTCAAGGTCATTTTGACTATGGAAGAGCCAGAAGTCACACGGTGCCAGATCTGGTGAACACAGTGGATGAAGACTCACTATAAGGTTTTTACAAGCCTGCCTTTCCATTGAATGGCACTCAGCAGCAGCATTCACTGCATTTTTGATCATACCTTGTAAAGACCCTCACAGACCAGACTTCCAGGACTGCTTCAGAAAGTGGCAAGAACAGTGGGATGAGCATGTTCGAAGCGCAGGGGAGTCTTTTGAGAGAAATTAATGGCAATGTGTTTCTTACTGTAACAATACATTTTTAAAACTTATTTTTTATTAGTACATGTTTGCAATACATGGTGAATATGTTCATCGTGGAGAGCTGGTATGTGTACATATTGAATCTTAATCCTGTTTACCTCCCCTTCCTCTCCATACTGTAATGAATTTTTACCAATTCGAATATTTACCATATATTTTGATCACCTCTTGTATTCTATAGAATTCCCTTCCTATTCTATTCGCAGTGTTCTTATAGTCCGTACCAAAAATTTGGTCGGTATATACTGCATGATTATGCAGGAAGGATGTGGAGTGGCTGCCTTGTCACCATAACCAAGTGACAAGCCCTTTGGGCCTCTCTTTTGTAGTAATTACCACGTCACCATAATGATAATAATAGCAGTGAAGTGAGTGCTTCCCGTGCATTATCTATTTGATCCCCAAGGCAGCCCTACGAGCTTGGTACTGACATTATTCCCCTCAGGAGGACGCTGCCAGAGCCCACAGGTAACAGGCCCTGCTCTGTCTCAAACTGCGTGGTCCGAGCACTGGCCTGCCTCATGCAGTCCTGGAGGCCACTCTGCTGACACCAGGGTGGCGAAGCTCTGGCTCTTCCCAACCATACCAGATAGTGAAGGCTGTGTAGGCGAGCACTCACCAGGCCGCGGATGTGCATCACCATGATGAAGAGTTTGTTGTTTTTGTAGGAGATAGACAGCTTCACCTCCCCTCCTACCTTCCCCACGGGCCGGGCCCAGGTGCCATCTGTAGGGATGAAGGAAACCGAGAAAGGTCAGCAGGCCCACGGTGCCCCTGATGGTGCCAGGCAGGTTTCTGCTTTCTCTCTGCAGCCCCTGCCCCAGTCTGTCCAAGCTGGGCTCCTGCTATGCATGGGCTCCATCCACCTAAGCAGGGTCTGGCCATGACTTAGGGCTGGTTGGGAGGTGCAGTCTCCACAGTACCCACCAGGGAACTGGCCAAGAAAAGGGACAGGAGATGCATCAGGAAAGAGTCCCGGGAAGGGCAGGGCAGGAGAACCAGGCTTGGGGGCTCCCGAGAGGCTGGCAGGGCTCCCTTGGGGAAGGCGCTGTACCTGAGGGCTTTGGGGCCGGGCTGGTGCCCGCAGCCTTCTCATCCCGGGGCAGAGGATGGAAGAAGGTGTACACCAGGTCGCACTGGAATGGAATGAGAAAACAGGGCCCTTCTTCAGTAGGACAGCAGCCCAACAGGGAGAGGGAGGACGGCTCCGGATTAAGAGATTCAGGAAACAGAAAACCAAATATGTGTCCTTCTTTTTAGGGCATGGCTAACCAAACCAACTGTAAAAAGAATCTGGGAGATTTTGGACGTGGACCATGTGCTGAATGATGTAACAATGCTACAGTTATGTAAGGATATGTTGTTATTTTTCAGAGATGCCTAATATTTAAGGGTACAATATCATGTCTCTAATTTGTTTTAAAATACTTCATAAAAATAGATGAAGCTGGGCCAGGGATTTAGCTCAGTAGTTTTGCCGCCTGCTGCGCAAGCGCAAGAACCCGAGTTCGATCCCCAGTACCAAAAAAAAAAACAAAAAACAGATGAAGCTAACATGGCAAAATATTAACTGTTTAGGTAGTAGGCATATAGGCTAATTATACCATGTTTCTGCTTTTCTCTATGCTTCAAGGTTTTCATACTAAAAAGATTTTTAAAAGGAAAAATAAGATTTGGTCGCTTCAGGTCAAAAGCAGTGTGTTCTAAGGGCCAGGGATTTAGCTCAGTAGTTTTGCCGCCTGCTGCGCAAGCGTGAGGACCCAAGTTCGATCCCTGGTACCAAAAAAAAGCAGAGTGTTCATTTCAACTTCTACCTCCCCAATCAGGACATGCACTCTGCTCTTGCCCAGAGGTGCCTGCTCAGGAGGATAGTTCCTGAATAATTAGGGGCAACAAAAACAAAGCAGGTGTGGTGCCACATACCTGTAATCCCAGCACTCGGGAGGCTGAGGCAGGAAGAACCCTGAGATTTCAAGATCAGCCTAGGCTATATGAGTTCAAGGCCAGGCTGCACTACAAAGTGAGACCGTCTCAAAAAAACCAAAAAAACCCAAACAAAACAAAAAGACTGAAACCAAAACCAAAAATGAACAAAAACCCTCCTAACGATGTAAAAGTATCCACTTGAGCATCAATATGGAGAAAAATGGAAATAATCTTTCAGAAAACAAGAAGAGGGTTAGATTATTGCAAGTCAGTGCAGTAATTTGGTACAGATATTTAAAGTTCTAGCACATGCTTACTCTAAATGCTAAAGGGAGAAAGTCTCAGAATATAGAATTTTGTGTAAAACGTGACTACTACAAAATGATAAAAGCGGTGCTCGCATATGGACCAACAGAAAACATAGCAAAGGGAAGTCAGATGGGATTTAGAGTAATAGGATTTCTGATGACTGCATTAGGGCCATAATAATGCCATTTATTTTTAAAAAAAAATCTAGACGGACACACATGACAAACCTACTCATAAGCCCCTTTTCCCCAAGCAGCGCCCGCCCTCCCCCCGGTTCGGACTACTGGGTCGCCCTGGGTCCCAGCTGCTGTAAAAGCCCCTGAGTGCTCCCGGCTGCAGGGCAAGTGCTCCCTGTGCAGCCAGGAGAGGCAGGGGACAGGGGACCACGCCCCACAGGCCGCTCCGCTCCGTTAGCAGCCCCAGAAGGGCCTGCCCCTCCCCGGCGGCGCCAGACCTGCTTTCCCACGCATGCGCAGTGACAGAGGGGACTGGGCGGCTACCCACCTCGGCCACCTCCGGGGCTGCGTGGATCAAGTGCCAGATGTAGCCGTTCAGCTCCTCCCTGCGCCGCTCGGCCACAGCCTCACCCCGGGAACGGCTGATCACGAAGCGACTTGGGAAGCTGGCGGGGCAGGTGGGCAGAAAGCAGGGGAGCACGGGAGGAAATGAGGCGCAGCTTTGCCACGTTTCCTTTGGGTTTCTAGTCACTGCCCTATTATCTAACAGCCTCCCTTCCAGGCCCCCTCGGCCCCCTGGCTGCTCCCAGGTCTGACCCTCACCCCGCACACTCGCACCACACACACCGCACACTTCCAAGGTCCCCAGACTAGAAAAAGCAAATTGTGAGGCGGAGTCCTGTGGCTCCTTAGCATTGCGACCAGGCGCAATGGAGCCCCGTTTCCCCTGCCAATGTAAGAATTCACTTGGTTATTTTTTTTTCCAATGGTAGAAAAACAGGGCACAGTGGCTCACGCCTGTAATCCCAGCACTCTGGGAGGCTGAGGCAGAGGGATCACAAATTCAAAGCCAGGCTGGGCAACTTAGTGACTTAGCAAGATCCTGTCAAAAGAAAAACTAAAAACGGATAGGGATTGTAGTTCAGGGCAAAGGCCCTGAGTTCAATGTCCACTGCTGAAAAAGAAAGAAACCAAAGTGGAAAAATATACAAGACATAAAATTGGCCATTTTAATGATTCTTAAGTGAACAGTTCAGTGGCCTTAAGGACATTTACAGTTTTATACAACATATCACGGTCTATCTCCAGAACTCTTTTTTTGTTTTGAGACAGGGTTTCACTTGGTAGTCCAGGTTGGCCTCTAACTCATGGAGATCGTCCTTCCTCAGTCTACCAAATTCTAGGATTACAGGTGTGTGCCACTATGCTCAGCTCTTTTCTCTAGAGTTCTTTTCATCTTGTAAAATGCAATTCCACATCTATTAAAACAATAATACCTCAACCATCATCTTAACTTCTGTCTCTATGAATCTGACTCCACTAGATAACTCAGAGAATTTGATTCCTATGACTGGCTTGTTTCATTTAGCATAATGTCCTCAAGGTTCATTCGTGTAATTACAAATCACAATGTCCTTCTCTTTTAAGGTTGAGTAATATTCCATTGTATGTACTATATACACACCATGCTTTGTTTATCCATTTGAAAAATGGTTCCTTTTTTCTTTTTCTTTCAGTACTGGGGACTGAAATGCTAGGCAAGTGCTTTACCACTAAACTATATCTCCAGCCCCATTTTCATTTATGTATTTTTTTTTGGTACCGGGGATCAAACTCGGGACCCCGAGCTTGCAAGACAGGTGGAACCACCGAGCTAAATCCCTGGCCTTCATTTATGTATTTTTGAGACAAGTTCTCACTCTGTAGCCCAGGCTGGCCTTGAACTTGAGGCCAGCCTCTAGCCTCAGCCTCCCAAGTGCTGGGATTACCGGTGTGTAATACCACACCCAGCTCACCAGCCCTATTTATTTATTTTTATTTTGAGACAAACTAAAATTGCTACATTTCCCAGGCTGGCCTTGAACTTTCAGTCCTTCTGCCTCAGCCTCCTGAGTAGCTGGATTACAAGTGTGCACCAGCTCTGGTTTAACTGTCATAAACTGGACACTTGGGAAGAGTTCCAGATTCAACCAGTGGCCGTTCTTTAGCCACAGCCAGCTTTCCTCTGACGGGCCCAAGGCTAGAGCAAGGCTGCTTGGGCGCCAGGACAGATTGGCCAGCAGGGGGAGCACCTGTCACCAAAATCAATACCAGGCCAAGTGAAGCAGGATCTTTAAAAGGGTTTTTTGTGTCCTGCAGTCCTGCCAGCCCCATGGATGACTCCCTTCGCCCCCAGGGAGTAAAGGAGGAAGCTACCTGGGCAAGAGGGAAGAAGGGAAGAGCAGCCGAAGCTTGTTGTGTAATTCCTGGAACTCTTCAAATGTCCGCTGGATGTAAGTGGCCTCATGAGCATTCTCTCGCTTCACCTTCACCACATATATCTGCAAAGGTCAAAATCTTGCAGCACACCCTGTGCGCCGAGGGAAGGGGGGTAGTACGGAACAGAAGCGCGCATGTGTGCGGGGTGGTGGTGGGGGGGGTGCTTTCCAGAAGGCAGCTCACCAGTCTGGACAGCGCATGTGCGGGAATCTGAACGCAAAACTCTACTGTGTGTTTTGTGTAGGACCCTTGACTCAGAGGGAATTACCATCCGGTTCCGCTCACCTGAGCAGCGGAGAAGCCAGTGGCCTGGAGCTGTTCCGGGCACACGAGGCTCGGCGAGGGCCAGTGCGCTCTGTGTGAGTATGAAGAAATAGAACCCCAGCAAGCTGAGTCAGGAGGGGGCAGGAAAAGCTCAGGGCAGAGAAATACTTACATAACCCTTGTTGGGCTGGAAGATTCTCTCGTGCCGGCAGAGAAAAACATCAAAGAGACGGCCAGAGCTCTTGAGAGTGTGTGTTCGAGGGGCAAACGAAAGAGTCAGCCGGTCGTCCGAGCCTGTGAACTTCATCTGGGCCAGATTATGGATGAAAAAGTTGAGCTTTGTGGCCACGCTACCCAGGCTGGACTCAATCAACCTGTCGGTGTGGGGGAAGGACGACAGGAAGAAAAGGATGTAGCCACGGACAAATCCCCTCTGCTGTGACAAGGACATCGCCCTGACTCTGAGATGAAGCAGCAGTGCCCAGTGTGAGACCCACACAGAGCAGGCACATGATTGTCTTATGCGGTTTGTTCCTGTGACTCCTGGGACCTGCTGTCCCTTCTCTGTCCATTTGAGCCAAAGGCAGTCAAAGCGAGGAAGGGAGGAATTAGGACACTGCAGGCTCAGTACAGATGTCTGAACAGTGTCGTCAAAGTGAATCCAAGGTTCACTACACGGGACCTCCCCAAGCACTGATGAATTCAGAGATTTGATTTGATTTGACTTATTTAATTTATTTAGAGACAGGGCCTCAATATGTAATTCAAAGTGGCTTTAAAATCACTATGTAGCCCAGGCTAGCCTCAAACTCACAGTGATCCTCCTGCCTCAGCCTCCCAAGTGCTGGTATTACAGGTGTGCCCCACCAGGCCCAGCTTCGGAAATTTCAATTCAAAAGTGAGTTCCCTTGAAGGGGGAAGGGTCTCACCCAGCAGGCTAAAAATGATTCCAAAATCTGTATTATTCACTGCCCTGTAAACAGCCTTTGGCAATAAGGTAAGAGGGATGACAATAACCTTGAGCCAGGCATGGTGGTGCACGCCTGTAATCCCAGCACTCAGGAAGCTGAGGCAGGAAGATCATTGTTTGGGGCCAGCCTGGGCTACATGGTAAGTTCAAGGCCAGCCTGAACTATGTACAGAGACTGTGTCTCAAAAAATTAAGAGGAAGAGAAAGAGAGAGACAATAGTAGCTCTGTATACAAAGATTAGCACCAAGATGCAGGTGGGAAACTGAGGCTGAGAGAAGCAAAATGATGTAACCAAGTCAGAGGAGTTGGGGTAACAGATCCAGCTCCAGGCTCTGCCGTCTGTACTAAGTCTTTCCCACATCCCTGGCCCACTCCAGCACCCAGGTGGCCTGGGAATCACTCAGGAACTCTGCACACGGAGTTACCTAGTGAAGTAGGTAGTGGCGTTGGCCTCTGTGTCCTGAGGTCTTAGGGCATCGTACACATACTTGAGGTCCTCCAGGTCAGAGAGCTCGGGGATCCCGCAGGACAACATCTGGACAGAGGAAAGGAACAGGGAGGGTGCCTATCACAAGAGGAAGCCCTGCTGCTTCTCCACCAAGACAAGATTTCCTACAGCAAGGCTCCCTGAGCCTTCTAGAGGGTGGTAGGCAGATGTGAGCCATGGCTGGGGGCCACAGGAATAAAGGGCCGGGAATGGGTTCAGACACCCACACAGACAACTATATCCCCAGATGGTCAGGGTCCCTGCCTCTATCCAGGGCAGACAGCTACTCCTCTGGGGCTCAGAGGAGCTGATCTCCAGGAATTCTCTGAAACAAGCCAGGGCAGTTTGAATAATGGCACCAGATAATGAGGAGGTTTTCAGAAAGAGCTGGAGCTTCTCACCAGGCCCAGGAGGTTGAGGAAGAGGTGGGTGTGCTTGCGAATGAGGTTGTAGGCTTGGCAGCAAAGGTCCACAAAATCATGGAAGCGGCTGGAAGGCTTGTCACCCCCGTTGATGACATATGCCATGTCCGAGGTGAAGACAAAGGGGGCACGGTCCCTGGGCCCAGGGGAACGGAAGGACGAAGGTCAGCGTGGAGGAGGAAGCCCACCCAAGGGCTGCATCAGGGATGGCTCCCCTCAGCCTTCATCACGACATGTATGAGCCTGAGAGATGGGGGTCTCTCTAACTTGCTTTTTCCCCATAACTTCATCTTTTTTTACCCTTGATCTTAGCCAAAAGGCTGAGAAGTGATATTTTCTTTTCTTTTTTTTTTTTTTGGTGCCGGGGATTGAACTCAGGACCTTGCCCTTGCCAGTCAGGGGCGGTGCTACTGAGCTAAATCCCCAGCCCTTTCATCTTTTTAAACAAAATTAAATAAATTTTTATTTAAGGAATTTCACATGTAATTCCTTCAATACTCATCAAGGTCACCTTAATGAGGTTCTTTGTCTTCAAGATAGCTCTTTTTAAAAGAACAGATGCTTTATCCAGTCCTATCTGCCTTGCCACAATTCTTTTATTTCCATTTGAATTATGGACAAATGACAGCTTCAAAACTCCTGGGATCTTAGATCCAAATTTCTTTCAGCAATTTATTTTAGGAGCACTTAGGGTAGATGGATCTGACACCTTCTCTAAACACACATGAATTCATATTCATTTCCTAAGCTACCACACTGAGGAGTACAGATCTCTAGGATATGCGAGTATCTAAGATTAAAAGAAAAATTATCGGGTCTCTCATACTTTTTGCTGTCCTATAGTGCCTTCTCCCAGGCCTAAGAAATAGATCTATGAGCAAACCAGAACCACAGATAATCTATGAAGCGTTTCCAACAATGTGCAGCCACAAGACTCGTTTGCAGCCAGCCTGGGCTACACAGTAAGTTCTAGGCCAGCCTGAACTACATACAGAGACCCTGTCTCAAAAAATTAAAAGATCCCCAGAGACAGGAGTTCCCCATCTGTGGGCTGGCAATATTCTCTCCTGGTCCCCTAACTGTATTCCCGTTTGCCAAGTCTGGGCTCATGTCACCTTGCTCAGTGCTCAGTAAGGAGAAAGAATCAGTCCCCACCTTCTGTAAGACCCTCAAGGACTCAATCTCCTTATCAATCTTATCTTCTCAGAGGCTGCTGGGCCCAGGGCCTACACGCTGGGGCTGTGTCCCATCTCTGAACCATCCCTCCTGGCTTTCCTGCCGCCACACACCACACCCACATCTGGCTTCTGGAAACCACTTACCTCTTAATATTGCCAAACATCTGGGCATGGCCCAGGAAGCGGCCGAAATCTATGTGGAACATGTGGCCTGTGGTCTTCAGCATGATGTTGTCGTTATGTCGGTCACAGATGCCCAACACATATGTGGCCACACAGCAGCCAGCACAGGAGTAGATGAAATTCTCCACAGCCTGGGTCGGGGAGGCAGGGCAGGAGAGGACACAAAGCTGGCCAAGGACCCAGCCAGGCCAAATTCAGCCGACCCTGGTTGCCCTGTCTTGTGTGACCCCAACATCACCTTACATGTGCCTGTTCATCTTTTCTCGGGTACGAATCCACACTTACAGAGAGACATCCATGTGTTCCGGGGTAGAGGGAGATGGAGGGTTTATATGTCTATTCCCACCCTTCATCTGAACTTTGTCTTCTCCTGGGAGACTGGTTAGAAAGACCGACTCAGAAGCCCAGACTTGAGTGGCCCAGACTGTGGAGACCCTAATGACAGAAAGACCAATATTTACAGCTTTCCCAGTGGGTCATGATGACCCCAACTGGAGCACAGCTACTGAGCAGAGGACTTACGGGTGGCTTCCGGACCCTGCCCAGAATTCTTCCTGCTCCAAGTAAAACTCCACTCCCAGAACCCTTGGCAGCAGCTAAATGCTTATCTCATTAAATCACCACACTCCAAAGAAGAGCTGAGGCAGCTTCACACTTCTGGGAGTGTTTTACACTTGAAAAACCTGACATCTCTAGTTGATAAAATGTGTTAAGAGATATTTTTGAGTTTGAAGAGGAGGGGCAGTAGTGAGGGGTTGGGTCCCTCTTTGTTTGGTCAACAGCTGTCCGTTAATCAGTTTTTTGAGGAAGTAAAAATACATGGAATTATTCCCCTTCCATCCAATTCTTCTTTCTGGAGTTTGAAAAATTCTCAAGAACTCAAGAAAAATACGTAGCAGAGGGCAACTGCCCAGTAGGAATGTATAAAGTTGAGGCAGAGAGGGAAAGTAATGTATATTCCTAGGAATGTACAAAATCAGGAACAAGAAAACAACTGTTATAGCCCACTAAGAATGTACGGAATTAGGAATCTGAGAAAGCTGCCAGATACAGAATGTCCACATCCCGCATCGCCCACCTCCCTCCACCAATTCCTACCCATTCTCCAAGGACCTTCCTTGCTTCCTTGTGTCTCACATCTTTCCAGGCCTTCTGGCTTCTCCTCCTCTAAGCCCTCCACAGCCACAGCCACCACTGTCCATGCAGGGCCCACACCCCCTTTTCAGCCCATCACGCTTAGAGAAGCCAGTCTCCCAAGAGCTTCTTGGATGTTCCAAGGCCCACTGCAAATCTAGCTACAAACTCCCACCCAGCTACTAGTCCAGTTACAGCCAGATAGCTAATCCACCAGAAACTAAGAATAGGAAGTTTGTAAAGATAGCACAGAATGCACCTTCTGGAAGAAAAAGACCACATGCAGGAAAGAGAAATTTGTGAATGAAAAGAAACCCACTGGATAAGGAGCAAGACCCACCTGATCCCAGACTGGACCTCCATCACCATCAACCCTCCCCGGTCACAAGTCCCCTTTCCATCTTAACTGAGTCCCAAGTCGATTCTCAAAACAGCTGTGTTCGAGGGTTAATGACTAAACTCTTACCACCTCCCTGTGTTAGGCAGGGTGCTAGCAGCTTACTGGCAAGAAGGGGCACATTCCTAGTTTAAGGGTTCCTCTTATAGGATATGGGGTTCTCTCTTTGCCAAGTAGGTGACCAAGAGAAAGATACTTCGTTCTTCTCTTAGAAATTACCACAAAAAACTACAGCACTGTTCTAGCTACAAGAGCTGAGAAGCTACCTTTGCAAAGCTAAGGTTAAACATTAACATGCAAAGTTAGTGTCTGTGTGCGTGTATGCCTGTGGTTCACACTTCCAGTACATCGATTATGACTCTTTACAACACTGCCAGGGAGTAATTATAATCCCTGCGCCTCACATGGTGTCCTGTTAGGGTGGAATCCAACATCTGAAAAAATACCTGTTAGTATAAATAGCATGTCGTGTTGAAGGAAGGTAGAAAGAATCAACACCAGTCCTCGCCAAGGGTAGAGGGCCTTGAAGTTTACACCTCCAGTGGTGGGTTTGGGGGCATGGGAGAGGGAAGAAATGGCTTTCCAGGGAAGGGGCTCTCATCTAAGGACGTCAAGGATGTGTAAGTAGTCCCTGTGCTGGCGCCTAGGTTAGCAGAGGATGGGCAGGGGTGGTGGATGAGGCCACAGGGTCAGCTGGGCCGGACTGCAAAAGGCTTCGGTGCAATGCTCAAGACACGGGGCTGAAGAACTTAGAGCAGGGCCGGGGATTTAGCTCAGTGGTTTCGCTGCCTGCTGCGCAAGTGCAAGGACCCGAGTTCAATCCCTGGTACCAAAAATAAATAAATAAATAAAAATTAAAAAAATTAATAATAAAAAAAAGAACTTAGAGCACATGAGTGACAGAACAAGCCTGCACTTTACAAATCTGATATCAAGCAGACAATGATGATCAGAGGAGAGGCATTCCAAAAATTCAGGGGTCAGAAAGCAAAAGTTGAACAAAAGTAACAGTAAAAAACAGAAAGAAGAGTGGAGAGAGAACTGAGAAAGAGAATCAACCGGGAAGGCAGAAGAGACAGGAAGAAGCGTGAGAAAGTCCATGGCGTTGGCTCAGGTAACTGCATGGACAGCCTTCCATTTACCGAGAGGAAACACAGAAGGCAGATTTCGGGAGGCAAAGGGAGACAGAAAGCGCAGTCTGAGGTATGGGAGGACACATGGAGAGGCCCAGCTAGCCAGGGGCTCTGGGGTCTACAGCTGCAGGGAGGGAGAAGCCTGGAGGGAAGGAGAAGCCTGAAGGGAGGGCTTTGGAAAGCATCAGCACGTGGGTGGGAGCAGAGAAGCAGCCAGAGGATGCGGTGGCACAGGCAGAGTGCAGAGAGCCGAGCGTGCCAAGGACTGCACGCTGGGGAACACAAGTGTGTAGGGCCATTTAAGATCATCTAATTACACGTTCACTGAACAACATTCTGATTATAATTTGGCTGCCCATGTGTACATCTTCCCTCAGGAATACAATGCGTTGATCAGTATAAATTACTGTTTGGATACTCCTGAAGTGAAATCCGTATCAGTCTGCATTCTGGCAGTCTTATTGTGACCTCTTCCCTCCTCTGTCCACCCCTACTGCCTACACAATGACTACACGCACGTCCAGTCCCATTAACCCCGGGACTGGAGGCGAGAGGCTACGGACTGGCCCTGCCGCCCAGGAAAGCTCCACTTCTAATCAGGAACCATCAGGCCTCTTCTGTCATTTCAGTCTCATACTTAACATAATCTCAGCTTCTAGTTACAGCTTTGCACAAACCAACTCCATTACCAGGAGTAACAAAGGGAATCCGAATTCACATCCGTGAGAGAAAGGGGTTGGACTAAGATGCTCTCTGAGGTCTTCTCCAACCAACTCTCATTCTCGTTCAGTGTCACTGAAGTCCTCTGAGAGCAGAAGAGGGACCGAGCAAGATCCATGATGGGAAGGGATACCGGCAGCTTATGCAAAGCTGCCCTTTGCCAAGGCTCTGACTGGGGAACCCCATGAACGTTCACAGGCCAGCAGCAGGTGGGACAGAGAAGTAATCAAAGTCACTTTGACCCATCCCAGTAGAGGGAGGCATCAGTCCACCAACAGAGTACGTCTTGGCCCCCAGCAAAGCTGGCTTGTCTCTCAAAAGCCAGGTGCCAGAGCCAGGTGCACGCCGGCCAACTGGACTCCCGAGTCCCCAGTCTTACCTTCTCATACTCATCCTCCCCGGGGTTGTGTTTCTGCAGCCAGTCAGCCAGGGGCCGGTCCTTGAAGGAGCCGGTCACCCCATGCTCCACCTGGATCTTGCGAAGGGTCTCAGCATTGGGGATCATCTCCACCATCCCTGCGACACAGGGACAGGGTCACACTCTACAGGAGAGAGGCTATAGGGACAGGCCTATGAAGCTGTGCTGAAGCCAGGCACAGTGGCACATGCCTGTAATCCCAGCACGCTGGGAGGCTGAGGCAGGAAGACTGCAAGTTTGAGCCCAGCCTGGGCAACTTAGAAACTTTGCAAGACCCTGTCTCAATATAAAAAAAATTAAAAAGGGCTGGGGATGTAGCTCAGCGTGAAAGCCCTGGGTTTAATCCTAGTACCATATCTGCGTACACACACAAGAGCTGTGCTGAACGCTTCCTGTAAATTAAGCTTCTGGCCCTTAGACAAAGTCTGCCAAAAGGAGGCGAGCACCATGGTAGACAGAAAGGTCATCGTCCATCGCATACTCCAGACTGCGACTCCCTGGTACCCCAGTTCCTGGCTGCTGTTCCTTTTTAGTTTTAAATGTTTACTACAGAAATCTTCAAATATATATAAGAATAAAATGAATGCTTTCATCAGTTTACATGGAACCATCACCCAGCTTCAAAAATGGCCACATTTTGCTAATCTTGTTTCATCTATGTCACTTATTGTCACCTCCAAACGATTAAGTCACTCTCTAACTCAGTCCATATTCAAATTTCCTTGTCACTTCAAAAATGCTTCTTTAAGCTGGGCATGGTGGCGCACGCTCATAATTGTAGCACTTGGAAGGCTGCAGCAGGAGGATCTCTGCAAGTTTGAGGCCAGCCTGGGCTACACAGTGAGACCCTGTCTCAAAACCTAGCCCCCCCCCATACTTCTTTACAGTGGTTTGTTTGGATCAGGATCCAAAGTCAGGCATGCTGGTGATCACGCGACCCATTAGGCCATTATGGCTCCAAGATTGTTTTATTTTATTTTATTTTTTTGGTACCAGGGATCGAACTCGGGTCCTTGCGCTTGTGAGGCAGGCTGCGGAACCACTGAGCTAAAACCTTGGCAGTAGATTGTTTTATTTTATAACACTCTCTCCTCTGCCTTCTCCTTTTTAAAAATGAATTTCATAGCTTTCAAGGACATAATTCTGCCCTTTTCATTTTCACGGAGGAGTGCACGTTCATGTTGGGTATGGGCAGAAGGGCAGGACGCGAAGCCTCCCCCACTCCCAACTCACCCCTCCCCCGGCCAGTGGAGAAGCAGCGGAAAATGACCATGCGCATGTCCAGCCCCTCCTGCACCCAGATCTTGCTCATGATGCGAATCATCTGCAGGGTGAGCATGTCTTGGCGAAGGTCGTCCCCACACTGGATGGAAGAAGAGAGTGACAGAACCATATCCACTGCCTCCTCTGGCTCCCATCCCTGCAGCGGCCCAAGCCACAGTGACAGGGAGAAACGGTCCCCTTCTCCCACCCTGCACCTCTGACCTGCTCACTAGCTCACACCAGGTCACAGAGGGGTCAGTGACCTCCACACTCTGCCTCTCTGGGCGCTCGCACACTTCCTTCAGTGCAGCAACCCATCAGAACTGAATTCAGGTTCCTCTTTTACCTGCAGCCCACCTGACATCGGGCCTTTTGAAAAGTGTATTCTACATTTGGAAATTATGCACAGCAAATAGATTCTATAAGCTTCTAAGCCACCTACATGCTCCTCACCACTCCCCGCCCACCCCCGCAGGGCTGAGGCTTGAACTCAGGGCCTTGTAGTGCTGGATATATGCTGTACCAGAGCGACATCCCCAGGCCCCCACAGGTCGTGTCTCTCTCACTACATTTACACTGTGACTGTCATTTACCTCTCAGACTCTAGGAGGCATCAGTCAGAAGGACACATAGGGTTCATCTAGTTCAACTTGCACTTGATGTATCAATTTCTTCTTCAATGTCCCTGCCCCATGGTCACTGAGCCTCTGCTCACATATGCCAGGGATGAGCGGATCACCACCTCTGCCTCTCAGAAAGTACTATCAATTGCTTCTCCTCTTCCTAATCTCTGTTTTTAGCCCTCTGTAGCCATGCAGAATTCATCTAAATCTTTTTTACCTGATAGTCCTTCTCATACTGTATTAAAAAGGCAGTATGGTGGCTTGGGGTATACTTTGGGGGTCAAGGAAGGCCTTGCCCAGCATGTCAAGCCCCAGTACCCCCAAGAAGAGAAGGAAAGAGAGAGGCAGGGGAGAGAAAAAAAGAAAAGAAAAATGCAGCATGGAATAATAATGAAACAGCTGGAAGCAAAGGGTCCCGGGGCTGTTCCAGCCGCCCTGGGCCACCTCCTCTCTCCCACCCCACCCCATCACACCTACGCAAAGGATTCTTACCTTGAAGATGACACGGATGTTCTCACCCAGCGGGTCCACATTTTGGAAGGCGAGCTTCAGGGGGACTGCATTGGAGTTGAAGTACGAACAGTCCTGTGGCAGAGAGGGTGTGCCCAGGGTCAGGGTGGTCCATGCCCAGGAAGGAAAACGACCTTTCCATGTTGGACTGCAATGCTGCCCACCCTCCTGAAGCCACTGCCCCCAAGACCTACTCAGTTTCTGCCAGATTTCTCAGGAACCCAAATTCCTTCTCGTTCCCCCTACCGCCATCGTCCCATTTCAATTTGCTAGAACCTCAGCTCTGGAGCCCGATCTCTCACCCTTTCCTTTCATTCTGCACAGAACATACTAGTTTGGGGACTTTCACTAAGTTCCATGTCCATTTACAACTCAGTTTACTCCTCTGTGAAATGGGACTCACAACAATACCGGCTTCGGAAGGGTTATGAAGAGCAGATACAATAATCGGCCCAAAGCACATAGAGCAGTGCGGGGCAGAGGGCCTTCAGGGGTGACAGCTGGGAGTTTCAATCCTCACCGCCTCCGGCAGTGCATCCCGGTGCATCCCGGTATCATCAGGAGAGTCACTCACCCAGCTCTCGCCCAATGGCAACACCCTGCTCAGCTCAGCTCAGCTCAGCTCCACACACAGCAGGGTTGGGCCCAGGCCACGGACACACCTTCCTTCCTCCCAGCCCTCAACAGCCAGGGCGGTGAGGACCCCCTCCCCGAAGCCTTCCCCCTCTGCAGAGCCCCAAAGCCACGGCCACACACCCTGGGCACGATGCCCTTCACCAGCAGACTGGGGCTGAGTGGCAGGCGGCAGGAGCCATTGAGGGCAAAGAACTGCTTCACCTCCTCCAGGCCCGTGCGCAGGATGCCCTGCAGGGAGAAGGAGAGCAGGGGTGAGGTGGGGGCCGTGGGGGCCACTCAGAGCCAGGCACATCTGAGAGTGGGGCTGGAGGACAACCTTGGGACACACTCAGGACAGGCTCCGAGCCCGGACACCTACAGAGGCAAGGCCGAGGGCGGGCGGCAGGAGCAGGCCACAGATCTGGGAGGGCTGGTAGTGTCCAGGGCCAAGAGCTCCCCAGACTTTTGCCAAGAAATGCCAGCGATCTAGATTTTAATATAAAAATCTTCCAATTTTAAAGATCAGCAACCAGGACACTGCTGGCCTAATACAGTACCTTCACGAGGACAAAGATGCTCCTGGTACTTTCATCGGCCTGAGCCATGCTCAGCATGGTGAGATGACTGGCATTTGCCTCCACTTGCCCTTTCTGGCTGGGGGCTTCTGTGTACGCCAGACAGCTACATACACATTTCAGTATTTTGCAGGCTTAACCAAACACATTCACGTGCTGTGTCTAGCTTGTGAGCTACTTGTGGCCTAAGGTAACAGAGGCACTGCCTTCCACCTCCTACATCAGAGCTGGTTAAGTGCCCAAGAAGTAACTACTGGCCGCAGAAGCCCCAGACCAGAAATCGGAGCAGGCAGAGTCTGCAGCTCACCTGCCGGGCAGATGGGGCGGCCTCTCGGACCTGCTGGGCCAGCTTGGCCAGGGTGTTGACGAGCCAGCACTGGCGGTTGAACTCCTCCCTCAGCCCCTTGCCACAGCAGCACAGCAGGGCCGCCAGCAGGTACTGGTACCGGATGCTGAACTGAGAGTCCTTGAGGCCATCCTTCAGCAACCTGTGAGGCAGGAGGTGGGGTCAGCAGCAGAGTGGAGCAGGGTCTGAGCCCGCTCCAAATCACCAGAAACCCAGCCCAGCCTGGAGGGGAAAACGCACCCTGGACACACTGCGCGCAGTGTGACACACAGGTGTCATTTGTGCCCACCCCGTCTTTAAACAGCTCAAAGCCTTCCCCGGCTCATCTCTCCTGTTTCTGCCATGAGTAGGCGGAGAGGAGGGGCAGGGATGACCCTCACAGAGATCCAGGGGTGAAATCAGACCCCCTGAGGACAGAGGCGAGTTCAAGGTCACACAGTAAATCGGCACCATACAGAACCCAGACCACCGGCCACTCGGCCCTGCATGTGTGGGGGCAAAATAGTCCCACAAAGACACATGTCTGCCTCGCAGCCCTCCACACAGGCATTTACCAGAAGAAGTAGTGTGTCACTCTTAGGTCAGAGACGGCTCGCTTCAGGAGGAAGCGCACCAAGGGGCTGTCCAGGTAGCACTCATACTTCAGGGCCTGTGCAGGAGGAAGCGAACAGGACTAAGGGTCAGAATGCGACTGACTCAGGCTCTTGGGGCTGGAACCACCGGAACAGGAGGGAAGGTGGTGACCCACCTGCACCAGCTGGGGCAAGTAGTCGAGCAGCTCAGCATCAGAGAGCGAGCCGATCCACTGGACGGCCATGCGGCGCACCTCCTGGTCCGGGAAGCTACAAAAAGGAGCCCGGAGCCTGACAACCCAGCTGCGGGCTCTGTGGCAGGGGTGAGAACCAAGCACCTTCATACCAAGGCTTCAGAGCCACACAGCGAGGAAGCGCAGTGCCCCCAGGACCTGTCAAAGCCTCTGCAAGAATCAGCCCCCGCTCTGAAGAGCCATCCTGGGAAATGCCAGCGTCTACCCTGGACATGCAGGAGCAAGAGGGTGGCCACTTATTCTTCAGAGGATTAAAGAAAACAGCACAGAGGCCTTCGCTATGCTCCCGAAGACCTCTTCCTCGACTCCCACTATGCCAGAAATTCCCATCCTGGAAGGGTCCTCACAGGGGTTAAAGCACTGCTGAGAGGGCCAAGAAACAAGCAGGACTTCAGGTCCTGCTGAGAACGGCAGCCCAGGGTTCTGAGACTGGGAGCTGTGTCCCTAGAGGACCTTAGGGCAAAGAGGGAACAGGGGATGTTAGGGTAGAACTAGGTGATCGGAGAATGGGGAAGAGCTATGTGCCTTGTCAAAACTGCCAATGTACAGGTAAAGTTTGGGCATTTCTTTATGTTTGTTTTTTTTTTTTTTTTTTTTTGGTACCGGGGATTGAACTCAGCTCCTTGCGCTTGCACAGCAGGCAACGAAACCACTGAGCTAAATCCCCGGCCCTGGGCATTTCTTTATATATAAACGTTGCCTCAAAAAAAAAAAAAAAACACACAAAAAAACAAACCAATGTGGAGCTTGTGTTAATGTACGAAAATATTTAGGAGGGAGTTTACTGATGCCTGCAATTTATTTCAAAATGCATAAAAAGTAAGATAGACTGATGGATGGGCAGAAGGAAGGACAGACGTGTGAGAAAGCATATGAAGCACAGGCTCGTGGTGGCGTGTAGGTGGTGGGCATACGGGGGGGGGCACTGTGCAATTCTCAATTTTGTTGTATGTTTGGAAAAATTTTTCTTTTAAATTTTTTGCGGTACTGAGGATCGAACTCCGGACCTTGTGCTTGTGAGGCAGGTGCTGTGCTACTGAGCTAAATCCCTGGCCGGTTGGAAAATGTTTATAACATAACACTGAGAAAAAGCAAAAAGGAGAAATGGAAACGCCCTGAACAGCCACACCCACCACCATCTGCCCCAGGGCCCCCGTCAGGGATGGGCAGTGCTGGCTGGGGTGGGCACAGGTGGGCACTACGACTCACGTGGCATGCAGGAGCCCCAGGGCATCCTGGTGGTTCATGTGGGTCCACTGCTTCAGCAGTGCATAGGTGTCGGGCAGGCAAGCCCACTCCCAGCTGGGGGCGCTGGCGAGCACCAGAGGGAGCGAGCTCACCTCGGAGTGGCAGTAATATCGCTTCTCCCACAGGCGCTTCTTGTCAGCATCAGTGAGCCTGCAGGAGAGAGGGCAGAGTCGGCAGGAGGGTGAGGACGTCCACTGCGTGCTGCCACTCAGAGGCCCCACCTTCACTGCATGTTGGTGACTTCCCAGTGGCCAGGCCACACCTCATGCCAGCTAAGGATGACTTCGGAAGCCAGGCATCGGGTGACTTTAAAAGAGCATCAGGTGATTACAATGTGAAGCGCGATGTGGAAAGCAGTGTGTAAATCTCACCTCTGACCTGACCCAGGCACGTGTCAGACTGGCGCAGAAGGCAGAGGCCAAGGGCAGCAAATGCGCTACCCACCCCTCCTGGGGACCCTGTGGGCACCACTCCCATAGACCACCAGGGGGCAGCGGCCCGATGAGCCAGGGGCTGCGAAGCTGAGAGGCCTCCTGGGGCTCCCCGCAGCTGTCAGTTTTTTAGGGCCTTCCTGAGATCAGGCGGCCAATGGGAAAAGGGCGCTGAGGGGCTAATGAAGCATGGTGTCTGTGGTGGGGGGCAAGGGGGTTTCAGCTACTCTGGCCATCCTGCATAGGTGCCAGGGACAGGGATGAGCCCACCTCTCTCCTTCCCCAGCTGGCACTGCACAGGGCTTCGCAGGAGCCAGAGGCAGAGGGGAGAGGAGGCGGGAGGAGCCCAACTAGCAGCCCCTCCGGCTCCCCACCCTCACTGCTCCTGCTCCAATCCTGGTGATCACAGCAGCCCCAAGATGACCTCAGCCTGGACTCGTTTACCCCCGAGAGCTGCCAGCTTGCCTGGACACCTGATCCTTTTTGGAAAGCAACAAGGCCAGCAACAGGCAAAGGCCGGTGTGGAAGGGATGGAGGTGGAGGTAGGGGCGAGGACGCGGCCAGCTGCCCCAACAGGCAGTGAGTAGCAGACCCCTACTGGGGCGGGGCAGTGCTCTGGTCCTCCTGGGCAGCTGAGCCAGGCTTTGCCCGCTGCGTGGGCACGGGCCTTCTCAGATCCGGCTTCCTCACCTGCCTTCTCCACTCTGCCCAGTGTCAGCTCAGGGAGAAAGGTCTTTGCCACCACCTCCTGCCCCACCCCACCTCCACTCCCAGAGCACAGGGCCCAGGTGCGGGAAGGCAGAGAAGGTCGGACGGACGGAACCTGACGGGCTGAGCCTCACCAGAACAGGGACTCCTTCTGCATGACGTCCTTAAGCTTGTGTTGGTCTCCCTCCCCGAGGCTGCCAAAGTCATAGCGGGGGCTGAACTTGTCTCCAGGGGGGCTGATGAACTTGATGTCAAAGGCTGAGGTGGGGAAGTCAATCTAGGGGAAGGATCGGGGAAGGGAGGAGAGAGGGGGCCGTGTGAGTCAGGACAGCCACCTCCCTGGGTCCCCAGCTTCCCTCTCCCACCCCAGCATTCCCACCTTGCTCCTCCTTCCCTTTCCCCTCAGGATCTTTGAAAAATAACCCAGGTGGACTTGGTGATCCCAGAGTCCCTTCCAGCAAAGACAGATATAGACAAACAGACAGATGGAAACAGAGAGGGGGAAAATAATGAGCAAGGGAGGAAGAGCTTGGGTCGAGCTGTTCCTAGCTGAGGGGACAAGGGTTTGGAACAGGTGTCCCCAGGCTGAGCCCAGTGTGGTCCCGGAGGTCCTGCACCTGCTGAAGCTGGACCACACATTGGGCCTGGAACACTAGGTCCCCCTGCTCTATGCCACCAGAAAGATGTCCTCCAAAAATGGTATCACAACTGAGGGAACTCGTTTGCTATAGGAGATCTACTTTCATTTATTCAAGAAATGCTTGATGAACTAATACGTGCTTTATTCTAGGCCCTGGGCATAGTGCATCGAGTAAGAGACAAAGACACTTGCTTCCTAGAGCATGCCTTCTGTACCTTTCTATTTCATTCTCTGTCACTTTGATACTCCTTATTCCATACCAAAGCATCTCACGGCCACAAGGAAGGGGACCTGCCACTATTGACCAGACCTGGGACCTAGCCAGATCCCTGCCCCTCAGCCCCAAGAGGGGACAGCTCAGATGTGATCAGACTCGGAAGTATGAAGGTTCAACACAAGGGACTCTGAGAATCTGAGCCCTGGATGGAGGAGACCTCAGACCCTCTCTTCAGTCTCCTTGAAATCAGAGTTTACTCCAGGCAACAGGAGATGGATACCACCAAGCTCACCCTCCCACACTGGCTCTCATCAATTCGCACAGTCACTTTGGTCGCCTTGTCACCCCATGCCCATGGTTCCAGCACTTTCTCCTACTGTTCCGGCTCAGAGCTCCAGAGGGAAACTTGGAGCTTACTCTGGGGTTCCTCCATGGGTGGGGAAGGGTGCGTGGGGGTCTCACCTGCAGGATGACACTGTCTGGCTGGTGGAAATTTGGTGCGCTCCAGCGGGCACTGGGGTTTTCCTGTGTCGCTGGCCACAGGCCCAGAAGCTTCCGGCCACAGGTCAGGACTCTGAGGCAGAAGGAGTGTGAGGTAAGCCAACACACCTCCTGGCTAAGTGGTGGTTTCCTGCCTGCTCCCCCATCCATAAATCTGCCATTTCTGCTTGAAGCCACTACCTCACTCCCTTCCCTTTCACTCTCCCTGTAGCCCCTGGCTTCTTCCTCCTCCAAGTCCCAGGAAAGCTCGCCTCCCCCCAGGAGGCCCCCTGAGCTAACCACTCTCTGGCCTGGATGATCTGCTGGCAGGGATGAGTGGCTGGGCTAGGTGACCTCCCAGTGACAAGACCAGAGGACACATTAGCCAAGCGTTGCTTTTCCATGCTCCCTCTCTGCTGTCCTGCCCATGGCTTCTGGTTCCACCAACAGGTCTGCTCACTAAGTTCTGGCCCCTCTGTGGGGGATGAGATCCTCTGACCTCACCCGTGAGCCCAACGTGGTCAACCCTCCGAGGGACATCAGCCATGACAGCAACTAGACCCCCTTCTCTATCCCCTCGTCCCCTCCCAAAGCTGAGAGGCTGCCGCCTGGGGCTCACATACTGCCTGAAGTTGAAGAGTGGAGTGGTGACCCAGCCCAGGGCCTCAGGCACCCGCCGCTGCTTGTTGGCCTCCGAGGAGCTCCCGGGCGGTGGGATGGGCAGAGCATAGAGGGTGGCACACAGCAGGGTCTCCCGGGGCAGCCGGTTCACTTGCACGGGGAAGCAGATCCTGTCAAGGACAGGAAGCGAAGTCAGGAGGCTGCGAGGGACAGGAAGTCAAGCAGAGGCAGAGAACTGGGCCTCCCTGTCTGTGTCAGCCATTCCCTGAGGAAAGCTCCCAAACGAGGCAGCACCTCCGCTAGATGCTCCCAGAAGCACGATGCAGTGTCCCGGGGCCCCGCAGAAGAGTGAAACAAACACCCCGACTGCCAGGTGCCCATGGAGAACTCTCTCACCAGGGCCACCTCAGTCCAGGTCGTGACTGTCCAATACTGTGAGCTGGTCTCCTTTCCCCACTCTAGGGTTTCTACAAAGGGTCAGCAGAGCAGCTCCTCTGGTCCTCCTTTTCTGACTATCCCCATCCCTCCCCTTGTCCCCTGCTGGGAGCCCCTAGGAAGAGTGGCCATGTCCTGCTCTCTGCCCTCGCTTCACCCTCCCACCTGTCTGTGTCCCTTCTCCTAGCTTGCAGGGGCGCACGATGGTTTGTTCTCCTCCCTAAACTGGTTCAGAGCCACCCTGGGCTGCTCTGCCGGGTGACACCCAGCCACAGCCACTGGCTCCAAGTTCAGGACGAGGAGCTTCGGGTGGGGATGGGGCGGGGAGAGCTCGAGAACCTTGAAGATAGAGGAAGGACCCGTGTTACCTTTCCAGGAAGCTGTCCCTGGGCCAAAGTCCACAGTGTCACACTGCCACACCCTCCTGGCTGGCCCAGAGCCCAGCAGTCTCCTCACCCCGAGCCACAGAGGCAGGGCCACCCTGGGGTCAGCACATTCAGGTAAAGCAGCCTTCCTCCAGATGCCCCTCACTCCTCCAGGGAGTTCCACCCAAGAGAGGCACTCCTCACCCCTCCTGCACGCCCGTCACAGACTGGCACAGCCCAGCTCCGTCCCAGCTGCCTCTATCTTGGGGGGCCCCCAGCTATAATTAGGGTCCCTCCAGCAGCCAGTGGACATGCCAGGCTGGGGCTTGGCTGGAGGTGACACAGCAGGGCTGCTGGGCCTATTTTGAGAGTGAGCTGATCCCTGCCTGCTGGAGTGGGAGAGAGGATCAGCTGACCCCACTGCGCAGGGCAGAGGGAGCTGGTCCTGAGCCCTCTCTTTCACCAAGAAGGAAGAAGCCTCCTGCATCGTGTCTGAAGGAAAAGGAGAGGGAGGAGACTTGCTAACTAAACTATAACTCTGAGGAGCAACCACGGCACTCTGGTGCTCGGTCTTTAGGTGAAGCTCTCGTTCCAAAGCCTCCCCTAGCCAGCTGACCCACCCAGGGGCGTCGGGATAACCACTATGCAGGCTGCGGAGCTGAGTGCTCCCTGTCTGAGAAACTTTGTCCTTCTGAAACCTGAGCCTCAACATCACACCGAAGGGGCTGCCTCCTTCAGGGAGAACTCCTGAGAGCACCAGGTTCCGGGCCTGGTTCTTCCTCTCACGACCAGGCCAGTGAACTCACACTCTGATCACCAGGGAGCGGGGGCACACGCTGCCTGTGCACTGCTTGCAGTGTGACACTGTGGTCCCTGCACCGAAACCAGGCTGCACCGATAGTATTCTCATGCACAAACAGCCTCATGCATCCGCCACTTTGTCAGTCACTTGGAACAGAGAAACCGGAACTGAAAGCCCCAGCTAAGAAGATGCAAAGAAGAAGAGACTGCTTATTATGCACGAGGCACTGGGCCAAGAACTCTACCTACAATGTTCTAACTGCTCCTCAAGCAATCCTGCAGGGTAGGCCCTACTGCCCTCTCCATTTCTAGGCTGCCCAAGGTTGCGCTGACAGTATGGCGAGGACAGCTGACCCAAAGCCTGCGCTCTGAACCCCATTCAGTGCCTTCTCCCAAATGCCTTGGTTTTGGCCCAAAGAGCCCACCTGGGGCGTCCGTGGGGGAAGTGCTGGGATTGGGCCTCCACAACCTCTATGCTCCAGGGGGAGGCCCCTTTGGACTCTCAGGCCAGCAGCAGGATGAGACCCACTGAGCAGGCTGGCTGCTTCTGTACCAAGGACTGTGTCTGAGAAAAGGATCTAAGGTCAATTTCTTGGGGCTCCCCTGAGCCCAGAACACTGTACAACACCTTTTCCCCAGACAGAAGGAGTAACGAGGCCAGAATCCCAAGGGGACAGTGACACGCAGGGGCCATTTAATGTAGCTATCTTCTGTCTCCAAGGAGTTTCCCTGCCCTGGCAGCTGTCTGCATTATTGACAATTGTACACCACTAAGAATTATCGAAGCATGAAGGACAGGCAAAAAGGGTCTGTCGCCCCAGTTGTCTATAAAACGACCCAGCCCTTCCAGCATTTCTAGTCTCTTTATCTACCTATGTGGGCATCCTTGGCCTTCCTGAGGGGGGAGAGAGAGAGAGACACTTCCTCAGTCTCTTTAATCTTCTTTCTACATTTAATTTTTTCAGGGCCTCATGCAGGCTAGGCAAGTGCTCTACCACCAAGTTCCATCATTAATCTGCACTCTAAATACTTAAGCTCCACTTTTTGTTCTCCAAATGAAAACACAGCTACAATCAGTCTGGGAAAGTGAGGCTGGGGCAGTAAACAAGTCTTCTGACTGTCTAGAGGGTAGGGTGCACCAGACAGGCGTGAAGCAAGAGAACATCTGCAATGCCCCTCACCTTCATTTCCTTCCAGCTTTGCTTGACTGACGTCAACCTTCCGGACATCACGCTATTATTCATAAATGGTGATTAATGCTAACTTGTGCTGTGCCTTCCTATTTATATCCTGCCTAGCTCACTTCAGTGCATCAACTTCAGTGCATCAACTACCCCTGAGTTAAACAAATGTCCCCATTTCTCAGTTTGAGAAACCGAGGCACAGAAAGGCTAGAAAGAATGGAGGATTAGAGACAGAAGTAGAATTACTAGGACTACAAATGGCTCAAAACTCTTTCAGAGAGACCAGGTCAAAACAATAAGGTATTATTAGAATAAACAGCTAACATTTATATGGTCCTTTATAGACTACAAAGAGCCTTTATGGATACTTGGCATTGGATCCTCCTAACAACTTAAGAGGAAGAAATTATACTTGTCTGAATATAACAGCGAGGGAAATGAGACTCAGGACGTTGGACGACCTGTCTGGTTGGGTTAGCGGTGGGCCCTGGTGTAATGCAGGCATGTGCCCCTAGTCGGGGCCTCCTTAGCTGCCCCGGAAACTCCTGATGAGAGGCTGGCAGGGGACGGGCCTGGGGCAGGGGCAGGGCTTACTGCTGGTCCCAGATAATCAGGTGGAACAGGTACTTGGAGAAGTGAGCTCTTCGGGTCTGCAGGGGGCTGCACAATTCCTTGCCACCGTGGCTGAGCGAGCAGGAGAGGTAGAAATCTTCATAACTATAAACGGAAGGGAGCAGGTCAGGGCAACCAGCCCCCCAAACCGATCTCCGTCACCCCAACTTTTGCATCCTCTTAATGCCAGACGCCACTTCCCCATGGTAGCACTGCTTGCAGTCTCTGGAGACTGTAGCATGGGGTGAGGAATAGGACAGTCACATTAGATTTAAGGAAGTGCACTCAGGGAGAAGCAACTCAGTCTGGGGCGCGCGCGCGCACACACACGCACGCGCACGCACACACACACACACACACACACACACACACTCCCCTGCAGGTTCCGGGCTGCTTGCTGTGCACTGGGGTTTTTCTTCCTTCAGCTCTAGCCCACCAGGTGCCCACATCACATGCACACGCGCGTGCATATTTGCGTGCATGTGAGCATGCGCAGGGGAGCGGGGGAGGACAACGACATATGCTGCCATGAATGCCAACACACGGGGGTCCCTGCAGCTCATGACAGGTGCCTGATAGAAGAGGTCAGAGAAGGCCCCTGTTTCCCAGGCGTGTCCTTTGTTCTCTGCCAATCTCCCAGAGGAATACATTAAGTAAAGAACAAAGACAGAGGGGACAGGAGGAGAGGGGGAGGGGCCGGTGAAGGTGGGGTGGGGCCAATGCCTGTTCCCCCAGGCCTAGGATGCTGGGGACCCAGCAGAGGAGGGGAGATTAGCAAATGACCATCCTCCTCCACCCATCCCTGCAGGCCCAGGGAACCCCAGACAAAGAGGCATCCCCCTCCCAGGCCCGCCTTTGTGGTCTGCAGGGGAGTGCAGTCATTGGCCTGGGGCGAGCACTCTGGGAACTGGCCATCTGTCGCCTGTCTCCCTCAGCTGGGCTGGGATCTGGAGCGGGCAGGGACTCCCGACAGCCAGCACTGAGAGGAAATGGCAGGTGCTTCTCAGTGCCCTCGGGGGCTGCTCTCTCACAGATGTCGCAGCCTGGAGTCCCCTCAGGCCCTTGGCTCAGCCCCTCAGGCCGGATGCACCACAGTGCTACCCACAATGCCACCCATAAGACTGAGGTCAGGAAGGACACATGCGGAAAACGAGAAGCCATGGGGAGTCCAGTGCAGCTGGTTCCCCCAGAGGCTGCTGAGCACCAGCTCACCTGGTGGCCCAGGTGATGGGGATGCGGTGGGTGGCATAGACGGTGAAGGCCAGGGCCCCGGACAAGTGGCAGGCCTCCTGCACCAGGTCATGCTTGTGGCTCCCAGGCGCCGCAGTCTGGAAGTCTGCGTTGAACGTGTTGCAGTACAGCTCCACCAGGTCCAAGATGGCAGCTGTAAGGGCCTCCACAACCTTCTCTGTGAAGGGAGAAGGTCAGGAGGGAAGCTCGTGAGGCCCCTGGGAGTGAGCGCAATCTTGTTACCATGGCACTGGCGGTGATGGAAGGGCCTAGGACAGTAGTCCCCAAATGCCACTTGGTTTCTTTTTTTTTTTTTTCCATACCACTTGGTTTCTAATGACTGTGACAAAGCTCACCCATCTGTGGTGAAATGGGGAAAAAGCTGGAACATGTCCTGAGTTTTTCAGAGCAAGATTCCTCAGTGGATCCTTATTTGTATGCACTGCTACTTATTTAATGTCAGAATGTTTCAGGAAATGATAGTAATAATAATTGTCAGGATTGTTTTTGTTTTTGTATTTTGGAGACAGGGTCTAGATATACAGCTCAGACTATTGCTATAAATTCATAGCAATCCTCCTGCCTCAGCCTCCCAAGTGCTAGGGTTACAGGTGTGCACCACACCACACCAAGCAGTTACTTTTTTTCCACATTATTTCTTGGCAAAGCAAAAAGCTAGCAGGGATGGGGATGTAGCTTAGTGACTGAGCGCTTACCTAGCATGTGTAAAGCCCAGGGTTCAATACCCAGCATCACTAAAAAGATTTTTTAAAATAAAATAAAATGTCAATAACTTTATGTTGGCCCTCAAAAGGTTTTGGGACATTGTATTGGTCCATGAAATTCCAAAAACTGGGAATCACTGTAAGAATCCCAGTGATATTGCTTGGCGTGGTGGCACACACCTAAATTCTCACTACTCAGGAGGCTAAGGCAGGAGGATCTCAAGTTTGAGCCTATCCTGGACTACAAGTGAAATCCTGTCTCAAATTAAAAATAAAAATGACAAGTGCTCAATGGTAGAATGCTTGCCTAGCATTATATGCAAGGCCCTGGGTTAAACCCCCACAACACTCCCCCGCAAATGCCCAGTGATACGGGATTTAGGGCAAATTCCTGCTTAAACCTCTCCACAGGGGAATCCTAGAGAAATCCCGAGCCCAGTCTCAATTAGGGAATGCAGGGGCTGTGAGCCAGCTGGAGAAGAACAGCAGCCTACTATGCACGTGGGAGGGCTGGCTCTGCCTGGCCACCCTACTCTCCCCAACTTCACCTCAGCACCCTCTCCCAGGTCGAGCAAAAATAATGGGAAAATGATGTGCGGCAAGAAATGTGGGCTCCAGCTGTGACCACACCTCACAGGGACGGACACACGGACACATGGACACACACACAGCAGGTGAGCTGCGACACATAAATCAAGGGGGCTGAGGGGAAAGAGGGATGCGGGCAGAGCGTGTGTTGTCAGCTGCCCCGACTGGATGCAGAGGGCCAGCCGCTCCCTTACCTCGGTTTTCCCTCACAGCCAAGACGCTGGGATCCTGTTGAGGAGAAGGAAGAGGCAGTGAAGCCTCCAGGGCCTCAGCCTTTTCCACTGCAGATGGAAGAAAGGCTTTTCACAGCTGCTCATCTGGGCCAGCCCAGCTGAAATGGCTGAAAGGCGAGGAGCAGCAACTCCCCGGGGAGGATGGGGTAATGGTTTGCACCCGAGCCTGTGGAGGACGGAGTGAGCTGGCAGGGGGAAAGATCATCACAGCATCCACCCGAGTGAGAGTCCACCCCGGGCCACTCCTCTGAGGACCACAGCACCTGCGGCTGCGTTGCACAGTGCACCGCCTCCACGGTGGTGCCTCCGAGCCCCTCGCTCTGGGGAGATTTTCCTCCGCGTTTGGTTTGCACCAAGATGAATAAGCAAACTGTCCGGCGATGCCTGGGTGACTGTGAATAAAGCCTCCGCTGGCTGGGCTCACACAGTCAGACCCCGAGGCAGCTCTGGATTCGGGGACATGCTTGGCACCGCGTACATCACAACTCCTGCACTTGGATGGCTTAGACACGGGCAACACAGGCAGGGAGAGAACCAGCCGCTCTGGCACCTGGGAGCCATCCTCGTCCTTCCCCACGCGACACCAGGGCCTCTTTACCTTCTGGATTCTCGGCTGCATTCGCGAGGGGCAGGGGGGCAGCTGGTTGAGTGCACTGGTGATCTCTGGGGTTTCCACGGCAGCCAGGCCATTGCAGATGGCCTTGACAGACTGGACCACCCTGTCAGCCTTCAGCAGGAAGTCCCCCTGTGGGAGGCCACACAGTTAGGGCTGCTTGGCTCTCACGCTCTCCCCACCTCCCCAGTCTTACAAGGAAGGAGCCGGGGAGAGGAGGGCCTGACGACAAGGACAGGGGGCTAGTGGAGTCCCTGTTTTATTTCCAAACATCTAGCATCAGCCAACAATCTCGCCCTCCCAGGGAAACAGGCCGCACCCAGGCTCCCAGTCTTTCAGGCACTGCCACCCTCCTCCTCGTCCTCCCAGCCTCGGTCTGTCCGCCATAGTCTAAGCAATTCTTTTTTTTTGGTACCGGGGATCGAACTCAGGTCCTTGAGCTTGCGCAGCAGAAGGTGAAACCACTGAGCTAAATCCCCAGCCCTATGTCTGCCATAGTCTACGGTCCACTCCCACGTGGACACATACAGGTCTCCCCAGGGCCTGCAGTTTTAAGACCCTCAACCTGTGCCAAGGCCCCACCTGCCCACTCAGGCCAGTTCTCAGAATCTTCACCTGGGAATTTGCAAGCCACACCCCCTTCTATACGTGCTGCGCTCATACACTGCCCCCTGTACTTTAGGGCCCACAGCTTTCTTATCTGGAATCCTCTCCAGTGTCCTCCTTGATCACCTATGTCTGTCTATCTGTGTATTTCAGTACTGGGATTTGAACTCAGGGTCTTCACACTGAATTACATCCCCAGCACTTTTTATGTTTTTTTATTTCTAGATAGGGTCTTACTAAACTACCTAGGCCAGGCTCAAATTTGCAATCCTCCTGCTTCAGCCTCCCAGAGTGCTGGGATGATAGGCATGAGCCACCATGCCTGGCTTACATTTGTCAGTTTAAATTGGGAGACCAGGGAACATTGTACCTCCTCCCTAAAGGCTCTGCTGCCAGTGTGACCTCTCTAGCCCCTCCAGTTGCCCTTCACTGACTGGCATCCTCTTCCACGTACTAAAAGCTTTAGGTTATCACTGTGCTTTTCTAACCCAAGCTCCCCAAAGGCTAAGACAATTTTTACATTTCGCTAACCCCAGCAGCAATAGCACAGGGCCGAACATGGCTGCTCCTTGCTACAAAGGTTCAGGCACAGGCCACTGGCCAAGGGACTCTGGCAGAGGGTAGAGAGCACAATGCCCAATTTCCCTGAAAGGAAAAGTCCAGGGCAAACAACTAGATTGACCTGGCAGGGATTTTTTTTTTTTTTTTTGGTACCAGGGATCAAACTCAGAATCTTGCACTTGCAAGGCAGGCAGAGATTATTTTTAAAGATCGAATCAAAGCAGATTTACTCTGACACCTAAAATTTGGACAAATGTTTATGCTTATAGTTTTAAACCTTGAGGTTCCATATGAGTCAGAGTGGAAAAGAACTCCAGGCCCTTCCCTATCTTTGGGACCCTTCACCTCCTGAGGGTTTTTCTCCTGTGATGCACAGGCCAAGGCATCTCCAAGTGCCGTGGCTGGGAACACACTCCAGTCCCTCCTCTTGGAGATGCCCTACTCAGAGACAGGGGTCAGTGCATACTCCCTGGCCCTCCTCTACATGGATCAGACCCCTTTCTACATACTTGCCAGCTACTCAACAGCCAGCAGTGGTTTTGGCTGGCCCGTGAGTGAGGGGAATGAAGAGTGTGCTCTGCTGAGCTCTGCCGGGCTCCCACACGGTGCTGGCTGATCCCAGGAAGCCTGGGGAAAAGGAAGGGCCAGGCCTGGATGTACTCACGTCAGCCAGCAGGAAGGCATCCACCTCATTGTGGTACGTGTCAAACAGAAGACTCAGGGCCTGCCTGGGGAGTTAGGGGCAGAGAAAAATCACGGGAGAGGTCACAAAATACCCACTGCCCAGGGAGACTCGTTCCTTCCCTCCTTCTGCTCTGTTTAGGAATCAAAATCTGACTTCCAGGGGTTCCCATTCTCTCCATGTCCCACGAAGATGGAAGGAGGGAGGCCTTTCTGCTTTGTCACCTCTCACCTGGAGAACGGGGGCAGAGTGGGGGTCTTCCTTGACAAGGCTCTGGGGCCCCAACCTCAGACACCTGCAAGAATCCTCCAGTCCCAGCAGAAAACCAGGCCAGCACAAGTATCTGTGGGGGCCCTCACAGTTCCTCCCCGGGCCACACCCCAGATGGTACCACCCTCACCTGCTGATGGTCTGTTTGACTGGCCTCTCTTGTAGATGGACGAGGTAGTTCAAGGTGGAGGGGCTCTGGTCGTCATTCACCTGTAGGAGAACTGTCTCAGCCCAGCACTCCCATCTAACGTGTTCCACAGCAGCCCGGCCCTGCCACCTCCCTGGCTCCGGGCAACCATCAACCACCCCGCACAAACCGTCCGGGCCAGGTCACTTCGTACGGCCTTCTGCTCCATCAGCTGTAGCCGGATGTCGATGTCAAACTTACGGCAGTACTGGATGTACTCATGGCTGCCCAAGGCATGCTTGCTGGTGGGGAGAGACACAGACTGTTAGCACCTGGGGACTCAGTGGGAAGGGAGATGCATACCTCACCCTTGAGAAGGTGGAGGAGGTGGGTAGGATCTATGCTGTAGGCTCTCCCCCAGGGCTCCTGGAAAATGTCATGGTAGAGCTTCCAGGAAGGCACAGGGCTCCATCTAAACAAAAGCTACCTATACCACTTACTGCACAAATCCTGACTGTTCAGGTATTTATCACCTGTGTAGTTCTCAGGCATTCATTCCTGGGGTGGGAACTGCTGCAGAGAGTGGTGAATGAAGGAGATCTTTCAGGGGTAGTTTTTTAAACCCCACTGTCTTGGTGTCAGTGTAGGCACAACCAGGGGTGTTGGCTCCCACCCCCTCTCCAGGTCACCAACTAGGGTGCTGAGGCCAAACAAAGCGATCCCACCAGGATTCCGGGCCTCTTGTCCCCCTTCAAGTTCTGTGTCTCCCCTCCCCCTGTAGATCCTGACTTATTGTGGCTCATGACTCTACAGACTCTGAAAAGTGCAGCCAATTCCTACTGCCAAGTGTCTGCACAGGAGACCCCAGTTTCAGAGGGGCCCTAGGGAGTCTGCCATGCAGCCTCTTTCTCTCCCCCAAGTCACCTCAATCAGAAAGAAAACCACAGAGGAAGAGTAGAGCCAGTCCCACCTCCAGGCTAGCACCACAGGTCTGGGCCAGGCTCAGGAACAGTAACAGAAGCCGGAAATGGACTTCCTTCCTCAGCAGAGCTGGGAATCTTGACCAGCAATGGAGGCATGGAGAGGGGAGCAAGGAGGAAAGAGGACGTGCAGAAGCTGGTGATGTGCAGGGCCCTGGCCAGTCCTGATCCCACTGGGACATAGAGGGTACTCTGCACCTTGAGGGGGCCGGGCCTCCTGTCTGGCCCTCAACCTGCTAAGCGTGAAGTGGAGCCAGACCCTGGGGATGGGGAGGCTGGGCTACGGGCTCGGCCTGGCGGGAGGGTCTGGAAGGAAGGAAGAGTGTGCTGGGTGGAGGAGGGAGCAGGAAACCCAACCCTCCCCTAGGACCTCTCAAGGTTCTTATCTAAGAGCAGCCTGCATCCTGGACCTGCAGGCCCACAGTCCCCCTCAGCCTCGGCCCTCCTGCCACGCAGGGATAGGAATCCAGGGGCCTTCCTGGGGAACTTGCAGCCTTCTGGAACCCCCAAAGGGTCCTCCGTGCCCCCTACAGGGCAGCTGTTGCATGTCAGGAGCTTGGGAGCCAGGCCAGGAACAGGAACTGTGCTTTTACGGGTGTGTCTGGGGGCAGGGGGTTTTGGAGAAGTCATGGCCACAGGTCCCTGGGGCTTGCTGACCTTCCCTGTGGTAGGCCTTCCTGTGTGCACTCACGCAGAGCGGAGGACACTGCCCAGGACCACTGTCCCTGTCCCACCTGGAACATTCCACCCAGGTCCCTGCAGGAAGGTGGAATCCAACAGCTCCCGCCTCTCCACAAAGTGGCTCTGGACCAGGAGTGCTGCGAGGGAAATGGCCAGTCCATAGCTCCACAAGTCCTCTCTTGGGGCTGATTTTTTCCTGCTGGTCTTTACTGACTGTTCTTTGGGTCCTTCTCACATTTACCCTCACCATTTTTTTTTCTTTTAAGGTGCTGGGGATGAAACTCAGGGGCTTATACATGCTAGGCAAATGCTCTACCACTGAGCTATAGCCCCCAACCCAAATGCTTGCCATTCCTTACAGAGGACAGAGGGTCAAGCTTCACAACTAGTAAGTTGCAAGCCAAATTTCAAACCAGTGTAATGGTGTTATGAGGAGTCCACTTTACCCCTCACTGCATCCTAATAGTTCCTGTGTCCTGGACCCCTCCTTATTCCCGGAGGGGAAACAAGGACACAAGTACCACATGGGCCATGTCTGAAGGTGCCATAGAGTTTTGCCATGCAACCCCTGCCCTTTTCCTTCCTGCCACTTCCATAGGCTGGGGATTTAGCTCAGTGGTTCCGCTGCCTGCCTCAAAAGTGCAAGGACCTGAGTTCAATCCCCAGTAGCAAAAAAATAAAAATAAAAAAACGTTCCTGCCACTTCCAGATGAGGATATGGACGCTACAGAGGGCTCCACAACAGCCCTAAGGTTGAAGAAATCAACCAAGAACTCAGTCTGCAGCCCAATTCCTATGCTCAGGTCTTAGGAGACCACCTTTGCATCTAGACCCGCATGGGAGAGAGGAAAGGCATGAGGTAGCACTTGGGGTTTCCTCCAAGCAGTTGGAGGGAGCAGCCAGCCTGATGTCTGCTGTCACACAGCAATACTGATGGGTACAAGTTTCACCCCACCTCCCTTCCACCCTGCCCCCCTAGAGCCCCAGGGCAGTGGAAAGGGGGTTGCCTCAGCTGGTCCCCATCACACTTTCCAGGGAGGCTGCCTTCTGCAGAGGGTACTGGCTGCAGAGGAGCTGGAAGGCAGCCTTTGGGAGGAGGTAGCCAGCTGCACAGGCCAGTGGGGAAAGGCACGCTGGCAGGGGGAAGGGAGAGAGCAATTGTTCACTTCTTCCTGGGCTTGGTGCTCCCCTCAGAGCACCACACACATCCTGGAGAGCAGAAGCAATCCTCCATAAGCCCCTGACCCGGACCCCAGGGACACACGTCTCTCTGCAAGCAGTAGTCTACACGCAGATAGGACCTCGTCTTCGTCCAATTCCAGTCCCAAGCTCTTTCCACAGCACATTTGGCTGAGGATGCAGCCAGCTGTGCTGGAAGACGGAGCTCCTGAGGCAAGTTCGACGTGGCCAGAGGGAGTGTGCCCAGAAAGCAGGAGTCCTGACTGCAGAGTTGGGGCGGAGCTGTCAGCTCCAAGCCTAGCAAGACCCAGCAATCCCCAACACATTCTCACCCACTCGGCAGGTGCTGCCTCCACCCACCCATCCCGAATTTCCCCAGCTTCCAGAAGTTCACTCACTTCTGCAGGAACTCCTCTAGCCCACAAGGCTTTAGTACAAAGTCAGCCACATCCACTTCCCTCAGTTCATCGTGGGTGTAGCACAGGGTCTGGTAGATGAGCAGGTCTACAGTGGAGGAACCTGGAAGGGCCGGGGAGTAACATCGCTGGGCCTGGGCCAGGCAAGGTTCGGCCTCCCCACCTCGATCCTCCATCCCCAGCTGACCCTCTCAGGATCACCACCAACAAGATAAAAGCAAACACACTTGGGGCTGGGGAAAGAGCCTGTGAACCTCAAGCTGGCTCTAGACCCAGCCCCCAAAAGGAGTTTCCCTGCCACCCTTCATCCGGGCCACAAGGACTGGTGGGAGGGAGGCCAAAGGATCCTATGGACCAAAGCTGTCACTGCCCCCACCTCAAGAGATGTGCCCAAGTCCTCCCCTGCTAACTTACAGTTACAGGTGAAAGTGAGTGGCTCCCGAAGGCTGTTACACAACACAGTCACCTTCAGGTTGACCTCATCCCCAAGGTGCTCTGGGCTCGGGGTGACAGCACTCCAGACATATCCGGTGAGGGAGTAGTCTTGGATGTCAGAGCCTGATCGAAGGCTGCACAGGAGGGGAGGAAGGGCCTTCACTGTGCCTTCAGAGACCCTCTGACCCCGAGGCCCAGGGTCCCCTGCCCCCACTCAGCAAGGCCCTCGGGGGCTCAGGCCAAGCAAGGGCAGTGGGGAGATGGCCGTAGGAAACTGTTCTTGCCATCTCTGCTCGAGTTGCAGAACGTCTCTTATAGGGGAGCACAAGAGAGTTCCACAATCCAAAGCTTCCTGAAGGAAGTCAGAAGACTTAGGAATTCATTTCCTTTCTCTTTTGGATCAAGAGAACACTCTTATCTCTACCTGGGGTGTATTAGTGTTTCTTTTTTTTTTTTTTGGTACCAGGGATGAAACTCAAGTCCCTGCACTTGCAAGGCAGGTGGCGGAACCACTGAGCTAAATCCCCAGCCCACATTAGTGTTCCTAAGGGAACCTGAGGGCCAGCGTCAAAAGTGATGAGGGTAACTGCATCGTTAGAGACGAAGTTTCAAGAATTTTTTTTGAAATGAGAAGCTAAGATGTCAAAACACCTGCAGACACCAGAAGTAGGAAGCCTTCCTCAGCTGTGAAGTTTAACACAGTTCTTGCTTCCTAAAGCAAGCTCATGAATGGGTGATCCTTCTCCCAGCCACCCACACCTCCCAAGCCCTCTGTCCCCGGGAACTCTTACACATCCAGCATGTGGCAAAAGGCAGCAACTTCCTCATCTCTCTCCTCTGACACCTCAAACAACTCGTGGCCGTTGGTGACGGTGTGGGGCCGGGAGCCCACCTTGAAGGGAAGAGCAGCCGATTCAGTGCCTTTTCCCTCATGGCACCTCTCCCTGAAGAGACTCCATCTCTAACACAGACTCTAGGTGCAAAGCGGTTCTAGCTACTCAACACAGTGAACAGACCACAAGAAAGTAGGGGGCTCCACAAATACATTTATCTGCCATCCTAGCACACCCAAAGCTGAATTGGAAAAGAGGAGGTGAAGCCTGGGTGAAGAATGGAGGCCGGGGTACAGCGGACAAGGGGGGCACACCCACTCCATGAGGGAACACGCCTGACCAGCTGGGGGCCGCTGTGGTGGGAGGGCTTTCTGGGGGTGGCTCCCAGAGCATGGTGGTGAGCTGAGAAGCAGCTCTTGACCCAGCACCTCTGCTGAGGCCAGGGCAGGTGGGTGGCCCCAAGGACAGCTAGGGAGGCTTGACCCTGGGTAAAAGCCTCAACATCCACAGGAAGCCCCAAGGACAGAGGAGATGACTCAGACACATGGGCCTTTTTGGTAGGTGCTATTTGAAGAAGAAAGTATCGCAGCAGCAGTCTGGCCGGAAAGAACCTGGTGGAAGGCTTGGCTCCTTCCTCCCAGCTCCAGAGCTTGTTGGTTCTGAATGGCTGGGCTGCCAGGGAGCCTGCCCTGGTTGGCCCCACTTCCTCTCCCAGAACATGCATGTGGTGCCAGGAGGCCGGGACAAGGCCCCAAACTGCCCCACCCCTGCTCTTGGTCACCCAGGAAGGACCCTAACGGGAAGAGCAAGGGACAGGCCCACCAGGGCGGCCACACAAGAATGAGGCTTTGCTGCCTGAAAGTCCAGGAAGTCCCAGCCCGCGTCCGGTGAAGGCAGCGGGTCCCGGCAGCTGCTCCCAGGGAGGCTGGTGCTCTGGTCTGAGCTACTGGCATCACCGCCTCAAACCTGTCTTCCTCACTGGCTATTGTTAGGTCCTCCCCACCCTCGGGGCAGAGCAACTCAGCTGAGCTCCTCCTGGGTGTGTCCCCAGCCATGGCTTCCTCTGGGCACCTACCTCAGCCGGGCTCCCTGGAGTGTGTGGGTAGGGTTAGGGGCACAGAGGCGAGCACAGCAGTGGGGACAGTTGGCACGTGAGGCCCTGGCTCTGCCAACCGTGCCTGTGTCCCAGTCAAAACAATAGCACCACTGTTGCAATTAACCCACAAAGGAGAGACAGAGACAAAAAGAGGTGGGAGGGAGAGAAAGCAGGAAAGGGAGAGAACAGAATGGCTACCGAAGGCCATTTTCATGCCCTTTCTGTACCACTCACTGGCACTGGAAGAAAACAAAAGCCACTTACGTTTGCCCGGCTGGCAGGCCCTGGTAGCAGCGCCCAATGCTGCCTGGGGGAGTCTGCCAGGCAGAGGCTGGCAGCGTGGGTACCAGGCTGGCACTTGGAGCCAGCCATTTCCAGAGATGGCTCAGCGGGCCCGTGATAAGGAGGCTCGCCCCGGTTGGAGGCCCGACGAAGGCGGGGTGGGGGTACAGGCCGAGAGCTCAAGGGGTCCCCCGTCCTGCCAGGCTGAGCCCCAGCACTGAGCTGAGGTGGGGAGGGCCAAGGCCGCATTTCTCCCCTTGAAACTGGCAAGAGCTTTTTGCTTTGCCCTCGCTTCTTCAAGGAGATCAGGATCGAGCTCCCTCTCAGAACTCTGATGCCACACGGGGTGGGGGCAGAAGAGCCAGTGAGAACGGAGGTGACCACCTACTAGGGTGGCCTGCTTGGGGAGCAGGCCCAGCTCTGGGCGAGGAACTGGGAGCATGCACAGGACTCTCCCAGCCCTATAAATAGCAGGAGCAGCCCCACCTCTCAGATCAGGGCCTTTAAAAAGCCTGAGCTGTGGAGCTGCAGCTTCTCCCAGGAGCTGATTCTGCTTTCAGGGGCTCTCAGTAGAAATGCAGGAGGGAGGACTGTGGAGCTTCAGAGTTGGGATGGATCCCAAAGGCTGGACATAAGGTGGGAAAGCCCCAGATTCCTCGGACAATGGGTAAAGAGGAAACAGGGATGGAGTGAGCCGCTATGATAAGCTGCTACACAAGCCTTCAGCTGTGGGGAGCCTTTTTCTCTTCTCTTTTCTTTTTCTCTAATGGGGACTGAACCCAGGGCTTTTCATACTGAGCTACATCCCCAGCCCTATTTTTTTTTTTTTTTTTTTTTTTTTAAATTTTGAGACAGATTCTCATTAAGCTGCTAAATCACCCAGACTAGGCTTGAACTTTCGATCCTCCTGCCTCTGCTTCCCAGAGTGCTGGGATTACAGGTGCAATCCATCAGCCCAGGTGGGGAGCCTCTTGACTCATTGTAGTCAGGATTCCTAGCGGTCCAGGGTGAAACTTAAAGCATCTTTCAGGTCCCACCCATGGCGATCCTGTAATGCTACCTGAGCCAGAAACACACTGAAGCAGGAACCCACCTGTGGTACATCAAAGTCTACATTCTTTGCAGTGCTACTTTACACTACCTACTGATCCAAGCCAAATTATCACTGTCATACTGAAAAATTTTGTAAATGTCACTGGGAAGAGTAGGTAGCGAGGGACAGCAGTGAAGATGGTACAATTTGACTTTACTGAATGCCACTGAATTGTATGCTTACAAATGGCTAAAATGAGCCAGACATAGTGGCGCACACCTATAATCCCAGTACTCTGGAAGGCTGAGGCAGGAGAACCCCAACTTAGAGCCCAACCTGAGCAACACAGCAATTCAGTGAGACCCTGTCTCAAAAAAGAAAAAGAGCACCAGAGATTTAGCTCAGTGGTGCTGCCATCTGCCTCGAAAGCACAAGGTCCTGAGTTAGATCCCTGGTACCCCCCCAAAAAAAAAGAGAGAGAGAGAGCAAGAGACAGGGAGAGGAAGGGAAAGAAAGAAAGCCAGTAAGCCACATATGGTGGCACACACCTGCAATCCCAGCAGTCAAGAGGCTGAAGCAGGAGGATCACTGTCAATTCAAGGCCAGCCTGGGCTACATAGTAAGTTCAAGGGCAACCTGAACTATATAGCAAGACCCTGTCTCAAAAATCCCCAAAATTAATTTAAAAATTAAAACAAAGTTGAAGATGTAGTTCAGTGTGAAGGCCTTGTGTTCAATCCCTAGCACCACACAAAAAAAAGAAAAGTAGGGCTGGGGATTTAGCTCAGTGGCTTCAACCACCTGCCTGGCAAGCACAAGGTCCCAAGTTCAATCCCTGGTACCAAAAAAGAAAGAAAGAAAGAAAAGAAACAGATGGCTAAGTGCAGCTAACCAAGCATGGAAACACATGCTTATAATCCCAGCTACTCAGGAGGCTGAGGCAGGAGCGTCACAAGTTTAAAGCCAGCCTGGGCAACCTACCAAGACTTTATCTTGCAAAATTAAGAAAAAGGTCTGAGGATGTAGCTCAGTGGCAGAGCACTTGCCTAGCATGTATGGGGCCCTGGGATCAATACCTAGTACCACCCAGGTTTAATGTGATAAGGTATTATTATGGTTGGTGTCTAGATGTCCCCCCAAAGCCTCATGCAGTCATAGGTGGGGCTTTTTCACAGATGGCTGGATCTAGAGTGTGTGATGCTGGGATTAAGGGTGTGTGATTACCAAATCAATCCACTGATTGGTTTGGCACTGCCCTAATCCTGGTAGCCTAGAGAGAGTATACAAGGGTCAGAAAGAAGCTACTAAGGTCTCTTATTTTTGCTGTCTTCTACCTGCCATGAACTGTTTTCTCTTCTTCGATGGCCCCCTGCCAAGACACCTTGGCTTGGAGCCAGCCAATTACGAACTGATACCTCTACAAACTATGAGCTATGTAAATCTTTCCCCCTTTAACTTTGGGTTTTTTGTCTCAGCAATGAGAAAAGTAACTAAGACAGAATTTGGTACCAGAGAAGTTGGGTTGTTGCTGTGACATTACCTGACCACATGGCTCAAGAGTCTTTGGAATTGGCCTCCTGGAAGGGGAAGTGTCAGGGAAGGTTTGGAGATGCCCCCCGAAAAAATAGAAAGTTGGAAAGCCTTAGGTGGTACTTGATGGGAGATTCTGGTCAAAGCTCAGAAGACCAGAAGGCTGACAGAAATCCTGCTGATAAAGTCCAAGCTCAGGTGGTTTCTGCTGGGAAGGACTGCATTGGCTGTTGTGTGCTATACCTTGGCAGAAAGTTTGTCTGCATTTTGCTCGTGTCCAGAAACAGCCTGAGATTAAGATTAAAGGCAACGGACTAATTAATCTGGCAGAAGAAATTTCAAGGCAGCCTAATGTTGAGGCAGTGGCATGGCTACTGTTGGGGCTTTTAGCCAGATTTATGTTCAGACTCAAGGGCAAAGAGCCCAGCAGAATGATTCAAAATGTTGTGAGTTTGGCCAGAAAGGAAGCTCCAGTAAAGTTGCAGCCTGTAAAGATGGAAGAGAGGAGAAAATGGTCACTGAAAAGACTAGCAAGGAAAAGCCAAGTAGTTCAGAAGAAGACAACAGAAAAGATGGCCTGAGGACATCACAAGAACCAGCAGGACTCCAGCAATTGCAGCCTTGGACTTGCAAAAGTGAAAGACTTTACTCTGAGAAGAGAGCCCCGGGCACCATGTTCCAGAATGGCAGTGGCCTAGGGAAGTTGTTCCTTGGGATTTGGTTCATAGGCATTTGACCCCTACAGCCAAAAGAGAAGGAACCCCGGCTACTGCTCCAGCTGGCAGCAGGCTCTGGGCATCCAGTGGCACTGGTTTTAGGTGCATGCAGAATGCAAGAGTTGTGGGGTCAGGAAGGCTTCTATCCAGGTTTCAGAAAAAGGCCTGGGAAGCCAGGCCGTGTACCCGAGAAGGCAGTGAGTGAAGCTGAAGGTACAGTGGAGACCCCAGAAGTTTGGAGAAGCCAGGAATGTGAATCATCTGAAGAAAACTGCAAAGAGGGAGCAGCGCTGGCCCAAGAGAGAAGCCACGGGAGCCACCACAGCCAGCAGCGCCGTAGGGGTGGAGGCACTCAAGCCCTCTGGAGCTCACATCTTTCCAGATTGCCTCGGATGCTGGACATGCAACTACAGGACTTAATGTTTGCCCTGCTGGATTTTGGACTGGCTCTGGTCCCATTCCTTTACATCCCCTATTTGTACCTTTTAGAATGGTAATGTTTATCTTGTGCCATTGTATGTGGGAAGTGTTTATTTCTTTTCATTTGCACAGGGGTTTGCAGCTAAGAGTTTGCTTTAAATCTCAGAGGACGCTTGGGACTTAGACTTTTCAGCAATGCTGAAACTGTCAGGGCTTTGGCAACTCTTAGAGATGGACTAAATGTCTTTTATGTAAAGGAATGTACATGAGTCTTTGGGGGTCAGGGGCAGAGTGTTATGGTTTGTGTCTAGTTGTCACCCCAAAGCCTCATCTGGTCATAGGTGGGGCTTTTTCAGAGGTGGCTGGATCTACAGTATGTGATCTTGGGATTAAGGGTGTGTGATTACTAAGCAATCCACTGATTGGTTTGGCACCACCCTAATCCTAGTAGCCTAGATAAAAGGGGCAGAAAGAAGCTGGTAAGGTCCCTTGCTTGCTTGCTTTTGCTGCCTCCTGCCTGCCATGAACTGTTTCTCCTCTGTGATGCCCCTCTGCCAAGCCACCCTGCCCTGGAGCCAGCTGATTATGGACTGAAACCTCTATAAACCATGAGCGAAATAAACCTTCCCCTCTAATTCTGTGTGTCACGTATTTTGTCTCAGCAACAAGACAAGTAACTAAGACAGACATGTAATATATATTTTAGCATTAAAAAGGCAGGGAGGTGCTCTGAAACAGCGAGAGGAGGGTTGGATGGAGGCTCTGCCATTTCTTGCTATGCAGCTTTAGACTATCAGGCAGGGTTGCTGTGGAGATCTGAACCAGGGTCTGGTATTTGGTGAGCAATAAACAGCTAATATTATGAATTATCTTCATGTCTGCACAGGGCTTTGACAGAGCAGGGCCCCTGCAACTGGAAGCAACTTCCTCAAGTGTACAGGAGCATTCAGCCAGTCAACAATGAATCTCCTGAGCCCCAATTCAGTCCTTAAACCATGGAGTGGGGACCAGCTCCCACCGAGGAGGGCTGTTTCAGCCCAGACCCATGAAACGTGGCCCTGAGTGAGAGCCGCACCTTTACTGGTTTTCCTCTCCCCAGTCCCCCAGTCAGGCCTACCTTGCACTTCTCCCCCACTGTGGGGAGGGGAGGATGCTAGGGGGTGAGTACTTGGAGAGCTCAATTTGCAACAGCAAAAAAGAGAGAGGGACTGGTCCTTGTTTCTGAGTGACATGGGGGAAAAGGCACAAAAGAAACACCTAGGGGCCTCACCGGAGCAGCAGAAATCCTGCGGTTCTTGCTAGGTGCCACATTTGTCCGATTGCCGTAGCGGGAGGTGTAAGTCCGGGGCGGCACCTGAGGGGGCATGGTCTTGCTCCGCGACACAGGTTTTCCAGGGCTGTCCTTGCCGAAATCCAGGGGCCCTCGACCTTCCTTCCACCCCCTGCTGGCGTCCCGCAGCATCTCCGCATCATAGGTTGACTTCAGGTTGAGCCTTGTGATTGCATCGTTGATGCCATCGAAGTCCACAGACCCCAGCAGATGCCCCTGTCCCCTGCCTCCTGGCAACGCTTCCTCTTCCAGGATTTGATGCCCCAGCAGTTTAGCTGGTGGTTGTTCGACCAAAGAAAAAGTGTTGATGTCGTTGGGCTGAGAGACCTTGGAGGATGAGGGGCACCCCTTTCTGGGAGGCAGGGGCGGGGTGTCCCAGATAGAGACTCGGGGAGGCAGAGGAGGTGGGGACAATTTTTTGCAAGAGCCATCTATGTCCCCTGGTCCTGGGGACAAAGATAGCCCCTCATCTGAACCATCAAAAATGTAGAGATAGTCTCCAGGAAGAGAACCTTTGGGCCAGGGATCCGGGCCAGGCTGGGAGCCCTGGGCGAGAGAGTGGTTGGGTGGCTCTTCCTGTGGGGAGATGGAGTTGTAATTGAGGGTAGGATCAGAGCCAGAGAGACCGCGCAAGAGCTTGAGGTCATTCCGTCTCCCCGCCGGCTTGCTGTAGAAGTCCAAGACAGGCTCGTCCCACTCGATGAGAGTATGTTCTTCATTCTGCTTGGCCCTGCTCTCCTCCTTGTGGTGCCGGAGCCGGGACAGAGCATCACACTCCATTTGCAGAGCTTCGGCCATGGCCAGCTCTTTGCAGCTGATGCCCACGGACTCCAGGGACTTCCAGTGCTCCCCACTGCCCTGAGTCGAAGACATGGTGAGGACGGGGGGACGAGAGACAAAGAAGCCTTCTACTTCCTGCCAGCATTAGGCCTGGAGGTCTGGGGCATGGTGTCCGGGCACCTGCAACCAATGGGCACACAAATACCATTCAGTCACAAGACAGATTAATCAATATTGTACACAGGGGATGGAATCCGGGCCAGTGGCTATTTCTGCAGGGCTCATAACAGATGGAAAGAAGCCAAGATGGCATAAGAAGGAAGAGCCAGACCATGTTATCTGCACGTCCCCTGCCCACCGTTCACTTGCACACGTGCACATGTCTCCATCCCTGGTCCCCAACTCTCACCCTCGTACTGCTCAGCACGCAGGGCCTCAAAGATGCACCAGCCTGAGCCTGGCCTCAGGGGACCTGAAGATGCTCTGCTCTTGCTGTGCCAGCCGAGTTCCCCCACCCTCCCACAGCTCCTGCCGGGACACTTTTTATCCACAGAAGGCCCGAGGGAGCCTCATTAACGAGCAGGAGATATACTGAGCCTGGATGTGCAGAGCAGAGAAACTGTTCCAGAGAAACTGCCTCAAGGAGAGGGAGGATTTAAAAAATGGAAGCAGGGCTGGGGATTTAGCTCAGTGGTTTCACCGCCTGCTGCGCAAGCGCAAGGACCCGAGTTCTATCCCCAGTACCAAAAAATAAATAAATAAATAAATAAATAAATAATAAATTAAAAATGGAAGCAAAGTGTCTTCATTCAGTTTAAAGAGGACAGCACTCAAGAGCTGGGCTGTAGCTCAATGGTAGGGCACTCAACGTACGTGAGGCCCTGGGCTCAGCCCCACCATTACAATGGTGGCATGCTCTGGGAGGCCAAGGCGGGAGGATGGCAAGTTCTAGTCTAGTCGAGGCTACTTAGTGAGATATTATCTCAAAATACAAAATTTAAAAAGGGCTGGTGACATAGCTCACTGCAAAGGCTCTGTGTTCAATTCCCAGTACCACCAAAATTAAAAATTTTAAAAATTTTTATGACTCAGTTACTCTCTTTTTTTTTTTGTACCAGGGATCAAACTCGGGACCTTATATTTGCAAGGCAAGTGGCGGAACCACTAAGCTAAATCCCCGTCTCCCAGTCACCCTATTTCTACTTACCTAAGAATAATGAAAGCATTAGTCCATATAGACTTGTACACAAATATTCACAGAGGTTTTATCTGTAACAACTCAAATAGGAAATAACCCAAATGTCCATTGATAGGCAAACAGACTTTTTAAAATGTGACGTCTACATATCTACATGCTCAGCAATGAAAGGAATAAATTAGTGACAAATGTAAAAACAAGGGTGATTCTCTAATTTTAAAAAACCCAGACAAGAGTATAAATATGTACAATTCCATTTACACAAAACTCTAGAAAATGCAAATTGATCTACAGTGGCAAAAAGCAGATCAGCGTTTGTGGCTATCTGGGGAAGGAATGGAAAGAGGGAAAGATTAAAAAGGGGGCATGGGTCGGGGATTTAATTCAGTGGTTCCGACACCTGCCTCCCAACCACAAGGTCCTGAGTTCAATCCCCACTACCAAAAAAAAAAATTAAAATTAAAAAGGGGGCCATATGGGAACTTTTAAGGAGTGATGAATAATATGTTCACTATCTTGGTCATAGTGATTGTTTCACCAGTGCATTTGTCTGTCAAAACTTATCAAATTGTACATTTTAAATATGTACAGTTTATTGTATATCAATTGCAATAAAGCTGTAAATCAAAGTACAGCAGGGCCCAATTAAGCAGACCTTTTCAATTACTCAAGTTGCACTAGGATCCTCCCCAATACACCAATAAGTTCAATAAAACAAAGCTCACTCCCAGGTGAGACGAGAATGCTGAGGAGCCCAGGGTGCCTGTGGCCCGGGCCAGCTGCCTCCAGCTGCAAGCAGCCCTCTCCCTGCGCCAACACTGGTGCCTCCTGCTTCCCGAGCCACGAGGTGCGAAGTGGATTTCATGGAGCAGCGGCTCTCCTGCCAGCTGCACACCAAAATCACAGACCTTTTCAAAAGGACTCGTGCCACACACCCTCAAGACACTGCGGTTTCCTTGGCCTGCAGTGGGGCAGTGGCATTTACAGAAACTGCCCACGAAGTTCCAGTCTGAAGCAGTAGAAGGACCACAGACCTCTGTGTTTTCCATTAGACTGGGGGAGGCTGAGTGGGCCGCAGTGACTTCTAACCCAGGCGCAGCGGCAGGGACGACCACAATTACACATAATATCAGAAGTGGTTCCTTCTCTTGTACCGCTTGGCCCAAGGGGTAACACACACACATAACACGTTATTCCTCACAATTACAAAACTGAAAACACCAATAGGAAAAAGGTTCAGCTAGCCTGTGTGTGTTGTTACTGGTGATCAGACCCAGAATCTTCACACTAGCCCTACTTTTAATTTTTTTATTTTGAGACAGGGTCTTGCTATGTCAATAAATTGCCCAGGTTTTGCTTGAACTTGGGATCCTCCTGCATCAGCCTCCTAGAGTGCTGGGATTCAGGCCAAATGCTACCACCCTCACCTTCAGGTAGATTCTTGAGTGGCAAGTTCCATTTGATTCAAAATAAATCAAGACAGCATCTCCCTTCAGCTGAGGTGCCCTCCCTGGACCCCAGGGCATCTGTCAGCCACAGGCTCAGGACCCTGACAACAACTGCACTTAGCACGCAGGTCCTCAAAGATGCACCAGCCCAAGCCCAGCCTCTTCCCTCTTTCCTTCCCAGCTGAGTTTCCCTGACCCTCCCTCACCACCTTCTAGACTCCTTCTATCCACAGAAGGTCTGAGGGAGTGTTGCTCCTTGAAATTCAAAGGAGTTGAATGTGAATGTGGAGATACACAGAACTTGGCCGTTCAGAGCTGAGAAACTGGGGGGCGGAGAGGAAGAAGTCCTGCGTAGGAGACACTAGAAAAATGGGCTCAAAGAGGGGCTGGGCTTATGTTTTTTGTGAGGGCTGGGGTTGTTGAGACAGGGTCAGTATGTAGCCCTGGCTGTCCTCAAATTTTCAATCTTCCTGCCTCAGCCTCCTAAGTGCTGGGATTACAGGTGTGTGTCAGCATGCTGGGCACTGGGTTTAAATCTTTTAATCCAGAGAATGACTGTGTATTTTCAGCCCTGAGCTGGGATATGAAGAATGTTAAGATCTGCCTTAGCTGGGCACCACTGTGAGGAGAACTGAGGCAGTCAGAAGCAGTTCCTCAACTCCTTGCCTTTCTCCCAGCCCCAACTTATTGCACTGCTCGTTTGGTCTGGGGAGAGGAGGTGGCCAGCTCCTGCTGAGGCACGGCGGCCTGGGCCCATTGCCTCCCTGCTCAGATCCAGGACAGTGTCCCGTGGATTTCCCTTCTCTGTATATATATCTTTTCTGCGTTTTTTATTGGTACATTTTAGATCTACATGATGATCACAGTCATCATAGGGAATCTGCACCTGTACATGCTATATCTTGCTGCTGCTTTTTTTCCCAGTCCCCTCCCCTCCTAACCCCTTTACCTCTCTTTATTTACAAAAGCTTTGCTTCTATTTTATTCTTCTATTCTTTCTTTTTCTGTCCCTTCCTTTTTCCCTCCTCCCTCTTTGTTCCCCTTCTCATGTGAACATTTTCTTCCCATTTCCCAGTGTCTGTTATACATTTATTTACACTTTCAGTTTCTCACACCAAAGAAACAATGTGGTATTTAATCATGTGTGTCCAGTTTATCTCACTTAAGAGCATGGTCTCAAGGTGCATCCATTTAGCTAGAAATGGCTCAAGCTTATCCTTCTTTATGGCATAGTTGTACTCCACTATATAAAAAACCACATCTTCTTTATCCATTCATCTGTTGATGGGCATTTGGGCTGTTTCCAAGATCTAGCCATTACAAACTGCGGGTATGCCTATATTGCTGTTTTATGATGCTTTTAATTCTTTCAACTTCCCCATATCTTCAACTTCTTCCCCTCGACTTGGTTTCACTCTTCAGCACATCAACAACTTCTTTCAGCCTTAAAAATGAAATAAAACCTACACCCTAAATACCGTCCCTTGACGTTTTGCCCCCTCTGCTCTCCCTTCCCTTGAGCCAAGCCAAGCCTCATGAGAGAGGAGATGACACCCCTGTTCCCAAACTTCCCCTTCCCCATATTCCTTTAACTCGCTGGCATCCAGCATCGGCCCGACGGCCCTCTAAAACAGCTTGGGGGACAATGCCCAGGCCGCCCCACTCAGCAGCATTTCCCCCTGCCCTGCCAGGGCCTCCACCCTCGGCCCCCTGGCTTCATGACGTTATTTTCTTTCTTGTTCTCCACTCTCACCTGTGTCCTCCTTGTCCTCTGTCCACCCTGAAGTGCTGGTGCTGGCTCAGGTGTCCATCCCAGCCCACTGTCTGCTCTGTACCTTTGTCTCCTACCCCCACCACTCACTTGGTTATTCCAGATGTCCGTGGCTCCTTCAGATTCTCATGCCCGCTGCATCTCAAAATCCAAATGGACAAATCTGAGGCGTGGCCTTCTTTCCTCCCTGCCTTCACCCACATCAAATCACCACGGCCTGCCCACTTTCCCTCTCAGCCCAAAGCTAGTCCCTCCTTCTATCCGAACTACTGCTATCTTAATTCAAGTCCTTATCTCCTCTCCTTTGGGCCAGGACAACAGCCTTTCATTTCTTCTTCTTTTTTGGTACTGGGGATGGAACTCAGGTCCTTGCGCTTGCGCAGCAGGTGGCGGAACCACTGAGCTAAATCCCCGGCCCACGACAGCCTCTCAATAGCCCTTCCTCCCACTGATCTTTCCCTCTTGAGGCTTTCTCTGAAGAGCAGCCTGAGGGCTCTTTCTAAGGTTTAAATCTGATCATCCTATTTTCTGCTTAAAACCTTCCAAAGGCTTATTTGACTCCTCTTGGAGGCCTTTATCAGCAAGCCCCATCTCCCTCTCCCTGCAAGCATTCATTACCTGTGTTTGACACCTCTGTGACTCACTTCCAGGGCTTCCTTCTCCTGGGCACCCCTTCCCAGTCCTATTGCTTGTGTGTTTCTCCCTCAAGCCCTCCTGGGACTCTGCCCAGATGCCTTGTTTTGCAGGAATCCTTCTCTGAACCCCTCGCCGGCCACTGCACTGCTCTCAAACATGGCCTTAAAATACATTCATCAAAATGACATGTTTATGGACAAGTCTCCCCCACTAACCTCCTCAAGTTCCAAATCCATTTCATTTCCACTGAAAAGATGTATCTGAATCCCAACCTAAGGGCCAGGCTTTCTGGCAATGAGAAATTTTTAGACATGGAAACCAGGTGACGAGAACATAGGTGAGGCCCTTCTTCAGAGTTCTTGAAACACAGGGTTGGGATTCCAAATAAACTGGGCTGGAAGGGGCATTTTTAAGTCAGGTGCATGGATGGGTAGGAAAACCACACAAAGTGCCTTCTGGCTCTAATAGTGTCGGATTGAGATGTACAGATTTCCGAAGGTGAAATTTCTCGGAGGACTCCAGAATGGATAGAAGGAAAGGCCAAAAAGAAGGGTGGTCCAAGCAGGCCCCATCCTGAGGCACTTCCCAGACTGGAATTCAGACGGAGGAAAGATGAGCTTCCGCTCTCTAACCACCAGCCCTCTGGGCCACAGGACACCACTAGACCAGCTCAGCCACCCAGGGAGGGAAGCCCAGCCCACTGACAGATCTCACGCACACACGGGGCCAACCTGGCAGTTGCTTCTTCCAAAAGAACTCAGCACTCCCTCGGCCAGATGCTGAGAGATCTTTTTTTTTTTGGTGCTGGGGATTTGAGGCAGGAAGTGGGAACCACTGAGCTAAATCCCTGGCCCCTGGATGCTGAGAGATGAGACACGAGGAGACAGGACAAATTCGTCCCCTGCAGGACTAGAAGAGCCCCCTCCAAGGTGCAGCATGGGTTCAGAAAGCAGCAGTTGGGCACAGGGGTAATCCAGAAAAGGGAAGGGGAAAGGAAGCAGCGACCAGCAGCAATCAATGCCCCAACTTTCATTTTCTGGGGCTGGAGGACCAAGAATTTTAGGCATCAGGGCCAGGCAAGGTGGCACACACCCGTAATCACAGCACTGCGGGAGGCTGGGGCAGGAAGATTGCAAGTTTGAGCCCAGCTTGGGCAATTTAGCAACTCAGTGAGACCCTATCTCAAAATAAAAAATAAAAAGGGCTGGGCATGTAGCTCAGTGTGAAGGTGCTGAGTTCAATCCCCAAGTCCCAAAGGGAGAAAAAAAGAAAGAAGTTTCGGTATCAGGGTCTCATGTTTCCTGCCTTCCCCTCCCCAAATCAACTCCTTCTGGCTCAGCCTCTGCTGGGTTGACACACTGGAAGATGATGTAGTCCCTTGGTCTTCAAGGGCTACTAGGGATTCTGTTAAAAAGCAAATAGTTGGGGGATGTTCCTCGGTGGCACAGCATTTGCCTACCATGTGCAAGGAGGCCCTAGGTTTCGTCTCCAGCACCTCGTGAGGGCCTGTGTCATTTCTACTCTCCAGCCCACCCAGGAAGAGCTGTCTGGGGCCAGCACTGCTCTGTCACACACCTCCAGGGAGCACTCACTCTACACATTGCATTCTACGTAAAAGGCAGCCCCTGGCCAAGGCAAAGAAACTGGGGGGGGGGGGGGGGCGGCGGTGGCGAGGGGCTGTTCTCTCCTAGGATCCACTTCTCAGAGAGCAGATGGAAACAGAAAGGTCAGTGACAGCCAGTTTCCCTTCCACACCTGCACGCACTGATTTGTGCTCTCTTCTGCCTACTCATTTGCAGCAAGGTGCATACACTTTGCCTCTGAACACTTCAGCCTGAATCCCGTAAGAACTAGGATATTTTCCTATATAAACACACCCACAAAATTTTATGTTGACATAATAACATGCTCCAGAGTTCACACTCAATGACTGTAATTGTCATCTGGGAAGTTTTTCAGACACAGAAATTCCCGGCCCCTCCCCTGGATGTTCTGATTCAGCCCTTCAAGTGATTCATATATGCGGCCAGGTTTGACTCCACAGACTAGGGTTGCAGAACTCTCAGGAAGACAAGAAGGAACTGAATAAAGGGACCCCAAAAAGCACTAGGGAGTCAGCTGCAGAAGAAGACAAGCTTATGGCTGAGCAGGTCAGTGCCAGGGTATAAGCAGCACCAGGCACCAAACTCAGTTCACTCAGCTGCCCACAGATGGCCCAGGGCTGGCAGGGAGGAAGCAGGGTCAGGCAGAGCCATACAATGGTGCAGAGTCACAGGGTGGAGAGAAGGGACAGGACCATCCCTTCTGTGGAGCTGGCTCTGTTCAGACCCTGTGGGCAGAGAAGCTTCCTGCTGTCAGACACCAACCATATCAGGGTGGCTCTGCTCAAGAGGATTGGGGGGGCATAGAGTCTAGGTCACCTCCCCACATCCTCAGCCACAGAATTGCATCCCAGTGGGTGCTGGATACGAGTATCTGAGTAGTAAGAAGTACAGAGATAACTGTGGCACAATTCTAGGGAGCTTACAATCGAGCCAAGGTGACAGACATATCCATAAATAACTCAATCGCCACCAGAGCACAAAGCAGGAAGATGCTGCATGGCTTGGCCCATCTTTGCTGCACAGGGGAATGGAGAGCTCTCAAGCAAGGTGGTGAACAATACACAGGGTCTCAAGGCCCCAGGGCCTTGGGCATCCCAACCTTTAGTAGTTTTTACTCAGGGAAGAAAATTCAGTTCTAGGATGGAACCCTCAGCGTCACTCTTGGGACAGATAGGGTGCAGGAGCTGGAGGTCATGAGTCCTTAACAGCCAGGAATCTCTGCCCCGCCTCTCACGCCACCCACGGGCTGCCTGCTCCACCTGTCCCTCCCCCACACCAGCCCCAACAGGGAACCTCCATAGCCCTGCACCAGGAAGTAGATGAAGGTCAGCTAGGCCACCTCCCAGCCTCCAACGGATATGCATCTCATCCCGGAAGAGCTCTGGATGCCTCTCTGATGTCAGCCCATGGCTGAATGACATGTACTGACAAAGTCTCTCTCATTAGCCTTCGTTCCCTCTGTGCAGCTCCTACTTAGTTCCAAATATGAGTCCCTGGAAAACTGCTGCTGTTTTCTTCCCACCCCTCCCAGCATCCTCTTTGCCAAATTTTAGCAGCCCCATGGTTCACTGTTTCCTACCTGGACTTATTCTCCATCTCTCTACTCCCTGGGTATATGCTGGACTCTCCACTAATTTGAAGCCAAAGTATATCCAAGAGTTTACTTTTGGGCTTTTTTTTTTTTTTGGTACTGGGGATTGAACTCAGGACCTTGTGCTTACAAGGCAGGCGGCAGAACCACTGAGCTAAATCCCCGGCCCTATCCAAGAGTTTAATAAAGGGCTGTCTGGGTCCTAGGTAAGCAGAGGGACAGGGCTGGAAGCCTGTGGAACTGCTGGCTTTGACTCAGAGCTTGAGTCCCCATCCCAGCTCAGGAACTATTTCCACATTTGTTCCTATCCACAGGCACACGTGGAACCCACGGAGATCCCAGCTCCACCACACACCCTGCAGCCTCTGGGCTCCAAACATGAGGACAGACAGGGATGCAGGAGGTGAAGCAGCTCGTGCCTACTCTCAAAGCATTCCTTCCTCCGGAGCTGGCAACTCAGATCACAAAGCCAGGAACCGGGAGCTGGCAATCGGCTGAATGGAACGTCTGGCAAATGGGGACAGAAAAGCTTGGCAGTGTGTAGTTTCCTGAGCCAGGAATCATCTCAGGAGCCAGCGCAGCCACACCGCCTCTGTCTGGTCTGCTCGTCTTGCTTCCTCCTCCGCATCTCGCCGCACCCACACAGCCCCAAGAACCAGGTGCCCTCTGAGGAGCATGGGAGTTGGGAGGACTCCTCCTGCTTCCTCCTCCCCGGGGGAGAGTTGGGAGGACAGGAAGGCGGAGAGAACCACAGAAGGTCCCGGATGATCTCCCCTTACCAACTGTGGCCTCCAGCACGGGGACTCCTGAGTCTTATCACATGTAGCTCCCACACCAGCTCGTCCCAAACTTGAGAACCACCACACGTTTCCAGACAGCGATAACCAGGACCCAAGTTTCTCTGACGGGGCTGTGCAGTCCAGAGGCTGAGGCCTCTCTGAAGGAAGACACGGAAGACGGCACTGTGGGAGTTGAGACACAGCAGCTCTCACCGGCGGCCCTCACTCCTAACTGCCATTCGCACCCTCTGCTGGGCTTCGACCCACTCTGCAAATCAAGGCCTCCAGCAGAGGAGACTATCACTTGTTACCTCCAGGTAGCTTCAGCTTCCCCAGCTCCTGCCCTGTGGAATCCAGTTCTCCAGGATTCCTGCATGGGCGGGGGAAACTCCCAGGAGGAGGTGGCCTGGGAAAGAGTCCATAAAGCAGGTCACAGCTGTTTCCCTCTTGCCAGGGCAGCAAAGTGAGGGCAGAACAGACCCACAAGGCCCTGCGCTGCCTGGAGGACTCGCTGGAAGGAAGAAATGAGCAGCAGCGTGGGCTCTGCCTCGTGGTGACTACCCCAGTGCTCACATGCTGGCTGGGTGTCTGCCCAGATGGAGGAGGAGGAGGAGGAGGAGGAGGAGGCGGCGGTGGTGCTGAGGGGCGTGTCAAATTAGGGTCCAACCCCTGGGCACAGGGCTGGCGGTGGATGGCAGGATACCTGCAAAGGCACAGGACTCGCCAGAGGGTACTGACAGATGCCAGCAAGAACATCCTCTGGAAGACAGCTCTGCTGGGGCCAACCCTTTATTTTTAGCAAGTATCTCCAATTCATTCAATTATAATGACTTCCTGAGTGTTTTCTGGCTGCAACTTCTCAGACACCTGGAAAGGTTTATCTCTCTTCTGGATGACAGAGCCCTCCTTTCTGCTACAGAGGAGGAAAGTGAGGCTCACCAAGGGTGAAGGACTTTGCCCTGGGTCTCACACTGGAGCCGCTGCAGTCGGGAAAGAGCCATGTCGGAGAGGCTACCACAGCGGGGATCTCAGGTCCAGTCCTGTGCTCTCTGTCCACAAGCACACTCAGTACAGAGGGGCCAGAGGCCCGAGACGGAGGGATGGCATCCAGAAGGATCGCACACTCAAAGCGGAGAAGGCGCGCCAGCAGCCGGGGGGGGGGGCAGGGGGCAGGGGGCAGGGGGCAGGGCAGCTGTGTGGGCGGTGACTGCCACCTGCCAGGCTCTGAGGAGGCCCAAAGGAAGGCAAGCAGAAACAGGCCAAGAGCAAGGGCCGGGCCAGCCGTCCACAGAACCGGCCAGCGGCAAGCTCAGCTCCTCGTGTCCCCAAACCCTGCCCATTGTCCCTCTGCCCCCACAGCATGCTGAAACCAGCAACGCAGACTCGTGGACAGATCGCAGAGCAGGTCTTCTTCAGCTAATGCTCACTCCCGAGATAACCCTTGGCAGACTGCAGTCACTCTCAGGGACCCATGCCATGGGAGCCCCGTACACCGAGCACGCCTTCCCACACACACACCTTTCCCTGACCCTACACACGCGTGTTCCTTTCACCTCCCCACTCACTCCCCCACCTCTCAGTCCCCTCATCTCACTGTCCCACACCTCCTCTGTCTTCCCACACCTTCCCACAACCTGTACACCCCTTACATCTCCCTACACCCTACACCTCTGCACACACGATATCCCTCCATCTTTCCACAGCTCTATGCCCCCACCTTCCAGCACCCCTATACACACACACAGCCACACACTCTCCTCAAGGGCAAAGGCTGGCCCAGACCACAAGATGTCACATACTTCATGTCACTGGCAAAGACGCCTGAGAAAATTAGAAGTTTGAACCCAAAAGAAGAAGGAAACAAGGCCTCCCAGCTTCAGGGACAATTTGGGCCTTTGTCCAAGCAGGCCCTTCCTCTGTGCCCTCTGGCACACCCACCCAGGGCAATCTCAGCAGCTGGGAGAGCACCAGGGAGACAGAATGCCAGGAAGGGAGACTCAGGCCAGAGCCCCAGGAAGGCCTTTTCCCCAGGCCCTCTGGCAGGCCCCAGGGGCAGACACTATTTCCTAAGTCAGGAGGCCCCACAGATGAGGGTGGGCAAGGAAAGGGGAACCAACTTGCAAACAGGCCCAATATTTCAGTGCAGAAAAAAACAAAAACACAACACCATCAGACACCTGACACTAATTTACACCAGGGTGTCAGAGGCCAAGGTGTGAGTCCCTGCCAGAGACATCTGCATTCCAAAAACAGAGTCTGAAGAGGGGAGTGCCCACCCCAACAGGCCCTGCAAATGTCCCTGGCAAGAGTGACCCATCAAGAGGGAGGTGGTGGGTTTCTACTGTAGAAACTCTGGCTGGGTTCCTGGGCCCACACATCTCCAGCCTCTGGAGAACAGACCTCCCAGTGCAGCCCACCAGGTAGCTCTGAGTCACTGATCTCCCAACCCTGGCCTTGGCCATTCTTTTCTTTTGGTACCGGGGATGGAACTTGGGTCCTTGCGCTTGTGAGGCAGGCATGGAACCACTGCGCTAAATCCCTGGCCCTAGCCTTGGACATTCTTAACTCAGCTTGATCCAGGTGGCCACCAGCCTTCCCCTAGGGCCATGCAGCTTCCCTACTAGAAGCCTTCACCGTCCCTGGTGCCAGCCAAAGGGGTATCCTGCTCTAGATCAGCAAGGACATGGAACCAGAGGATGGACCAAGAGTTCTACTCTACCCAGGTCAATGGAGAAACCCAACTCAGGGTGCAGAGTCCTAAGGGACAGAAATGACATACTCTTTCCTAGAGAGCCTCTCAGGGTCCCGAGCCCCCAGACCACAGGCAGGGCACTGAGGATGGAGCAGACCACAGGGGGTTCCGGCCAGGACTCCCGATCAGCCTGGCGGAGCCGTGGAGGTGGCACGGTCAGGTTTGTTTCCCCCTCAGGTCCACTTGTCTGCACATCCAGCAGGGAGGGGCCTGCCCATGCCGTGGTTCTCTTAGGGCCTCAGAGCCTGGCTAACACTGGGTGCTGGACATGCTTCCTCTTACCCTGCTGCTTCTCGCTCCTCTTTCCTTCCCTACCCAAGCTCCTCAGCAGCCTCCCCTGTTACCTCTTGTAATCTCTCAAGGTCCCCTGGGGTGTGTGTGTGTGTCCTCATAACTTAAATGGTGGCCCTGATGTCTGGGGGTCCAAAGCCAACACCTTTGCCTAAAAGGGTGCTAAAGTGAGTGTTTTGCATCTCTATGCACAGAGAGGTCACAAAGATTTTCAGAGACAGTGACTTGGGGCAGTGGGTGGGGAAAAGCAAGAAAGGAATCCCATCAGTCATTTCACTGTTGCTCTGTACAGGCCCTAATGCCTTTCTCCAAACTCCTGACCCCCAAATTGCACAGGAAGGTCTCAAGAGAGACAGACGAGGCCAGGGATTTAGCTCAAAGGTCCCAAGTTCAATCCCCAGTACCAAAAAGAGAGAAAGACAGACTTCTCCCTAAAGACAGAGCCCAAGTCCACACTGGGCAAAGGGGACACTCAGCAGAGGGCCAGCACCTGACTGCACAGCACACTCCCACTCCTCCAGCCCCTTCCTCACGGTGCTCTTGCACGTGGGACCCTCACCCAGGGTCTCCCAGGGTAGCCTCAGGCAGAGCCCCTTCTCAGCAGGGAGAAGTTGACATCATTTGCAGCTGGAGGGGTGCAGGCAGGGTGTGCAGGCACACTGGAGCCAATGATCCGAAGGAGTCAGGCTGAAATACCTTTACAGCATGTGTAAATGCCATTCCAAAGTCTGCACTTTGTACACTGCAAATGAGAAGCTCCAGAGAGATGCTCACTGCGATGACCGATGACCACAGCAAGGTCACTGAAGAGAGGCGGAGAAGGTGGGAGAAAGAAGGGAGGCACAGCAGTGGGTATGACCGCCTCAGAAAGGGAAGGAAACAGGCCTTTTATTTCCCCTGGAATTTTTGTTTTTTTGGTACCAGGGATCTAACTCAGGACCTTGCACTTTCAAGGCAGGTGGGGGAACCACTGAGCTAAATCCCCAGGCCTCCCCTGGAATTTTGTGCCAGGTATTATTTTATTTCATCCTCACAACAGTCCTTAAATGTGGGTTTTATTATCCTTATTTTTTTTTATTATTATCCTTAAAGATGAGGAAACTAGAAAACAGGAAAGGGATTGAGTAATTTCCCCAAGGTCACACAACCCAGAAGTGATACAATTAAAAATTAAACCAGGGGGCCGGGGATTTAGCTCAGTGGTTCCAGCACCTGCCTCACAAGCACAAGGTCCCGAGTTCGATCCCTGGTACCAAAAAAAAAAAAAATTAAACTGGGGGCAGAGGATTTAGCTCAGTGGAGCTCAGCAAGCAAAAGGTACTGAGAAAAAAAAAGAATTAAACCAAATCTAGTGTGAGCCCAAAATTCAAAATCTTTTTCCCATCTTGCCACAGAAACCCAGGCATATCCGAGGGAAAGTTCACGCAGATGTTGGCAAATATTCTAGAACACGCCTGTGCTCTCCTTCCACACTCCAGGACACTCCCAGGCCATTTGACACACACACACACACACACACACACACACACACACACACACACACACACACACACACACACACACACACACACACACACCCAGCACCCTTGAGTTCATTATCTAGCAGCAAAAAACCCAAAACCGAAAACATGCATATAAAAAACCAAAAAAATGTAGTTTGGAAGATAAGAGAACCAATGACTACAGGGGAAAACAAAACAACTTTTCCACCCCAGCCCAGCACAGCGTTCCACACGAGGCGCACCTCAGCACTGACCGATTAAGCACTGTGCTCTGAGGGTGGTCTGACCAGCACCTCCCCGCAGGATCAGAGGTTCTGAGTCAAATTGTAAGGTGTCCTGGTAGGCACCCCATAGCACTTAGCAGAGTCTGAGCTCACAGACCTCTGAAGTCTTCCGTCCTCTGGTCTTAGTTTCTGCAAGTCTATGAGATTATACTGTCAGAACACCCTCTCATTAGCTACTTCCATGAAGAAGCTCATCCGTTCACCCAAGGAGGGGCCAGAGCTGTTCCCTCAAGGTCAGGGACCACACTGGATTCAAAGCTGTACCCCTAAGATGAGCATTAACTTGCTATGCAGGGATGATAAAAGAATCCTAACCGTCAGCCCCTGCTGACATGAAGCAGCCACCGCTCTAAGTAGTTCATGAATTAACTCACTTCACTTTAACAAGTCCCCCACCCCGCTGCACCCCGTACTATCATTCCCACCATCTTACTCAGGGGAAAATGGAAGCAAAGGTATTGTGTGTACATGTGTGCTGCTGGGGATAAAATCCAGGGCCTCCTGCATGCCAGGCAAGTGTTTGATACTGAGCTACATCCGCAGCCCTGAAGCTCAGATAAACTAAGTGACTTTCCCAAGGCCACCCGGCTTGTAAGAGGTGGGGTCAGACTTTGAGCCCCAGATACCTGGCTCCACAGCCACCCTCTGACACACAGACCCAATTCACACTGCCCCTCATTTGAAGACTGAATGAATGACTATACGAATGGATCTGAAGGTATTTTTGCTGAATA